ACCAGATCTCACAAACACCTTCAGGACTCCTTGTGATGTACTAAAGCCGGATATTCTTGCCCCAGGGCACCAAATTTGGGCAGCTTGGAGTCCCGTTAGCGCCTCAGAACCCGCTTTAACAGGTGACAAGAAGTTGCAAGCCTTCAACAATCTTTTTGTACTGTTCAGGTTATAACTTGATATACAAGCAAAGAATTAAAACAAACTTCGTGCTTCTGTTCTTTAGGCTACAATTTTGCGCTACAATCTGGTACAAGCATGACAACACCTCATGTAGCGGGAATAGCAGCACTCATTAAGCAGTACAATCCTTCATGGATTCCATCCATGATCGCGTCCGCAATTTCCACTACTGCCACAAAGTACGACAACAACGGAGAACATATAATGGCAGAAGGATCCTGCATAGGCAGTACATATCCGTCCAGCCATTTTGATTTAGGAGCTGGATTCGTCAGTCCAAGTCGAGCCATGGATTCCAGGCCTCGTCTTACCTTCTGGATATGAAGATTATATCAGCTTCTTGTGCCCATTGCCTGAAATCAGTTCAGCCAATTTGAAATTCAACCATCCGGCCAATTTGAACCTTCCTTCGATAACAATATCGGCATTGAGGGGGTCTCAAATTGTCCGACGGATTTTCAGTAACGTGGTGAGCAAGCCAGAGACTTATGTTTCCTTTGCGGTGTCACCTAATGGGACAATAGTGGATCTGTGTCCAACTTGGTGAATTGCTCCACAAGGCATCCAAGAACTGCATGCACCACTTAAAGTGACACAAGCGATGGATGATTTTACATTTGGTGAAATTGTTCTTACTGGAAGTTTAAATCATATTGTCCGGATGCCCTTATCGGTTTTTCCGGTTTCGATATCAAAATGAAGAGAAGTTTTAGCTTTCACAACTCTGATGAATGGAATTTGAACGATTTAGATTATGATTGGATCAATGGTTAGACAAATCATGATGAATTTACATATTACAACTGAATTAGCAACATGGGGGACGCTCGTGTGCGGCCACCTCTGGCGGTTTGTCCTGGTCGGATTGGAGCGGAGATCAAACGTACCCTTCTGGATTAGTCAGATATGCGGATACCGCAAGTTGTCAGAAAAAGCATGGCACAAATCTAGGAAGTAAATGTCGGGAGGATATTGTCATGTTGCGCATACACTCATCACACCATGGATACCTATACATACTCCTTGCCTTGGGCCTTGTGGATGTGTTTAGTTTGTCTAACTGCCTTTCGAATTCTCTGCTCGAACACACGCCATTCAATAGTGGAGTTCTTCATAAAGATGCTTGAAAGCCTGCGTTTGTTTGGTCGTATTGTTGGCATTTTTCCTCCACCGTAGTATATTCGAAAACCAGATACCAAGGATGATAACTGACTTCCTGAATTGGTCATGGCAAATGCATCGGCAGCAGTGCAGCCTATGAAGTCCAGTGCTGCTAACTATAGAAGGAACTTAGGCATGTGAAAGTAGCAGTACAACCAAAATGTATGAATAATCTTAAAGATTTACAGCGTATCATTACCTGTGATGAAAAATTCATGAAAGGTTCGAGTTCAGTCTGTGTGAGCAAATTTTCTTTAGTCACTAATTCCGGATACAAGCTAGTCAAAGCAATCATCCTTGATCTCCCTGCATATATTTGTGAACCTGCCACAAATACACGTGTGTTCCGGATGAAACCAAGAGCAGCAAGCATTAGTACTGCTTCTTCAGGTGTTAAGGGACAGAAGCCTTCTTCCCTGAGCTCTGCAGGAGTAGGCAGCCTGAAACAAGTGAAAATTTCGATAAGACAGGTCAAACTCAAAAACATTTACAAAGTGCTAAGTGAAAGAACAGAAACCCTTAAAGCAAATATTTTCTCAATCTACCATTAGTATCATGAACTATCAAAACAAAAACACACCAATTAAATTACATACCTGCATACGTTTAGTCTTCTTAAGAAGTGTCAGTGCAGGGGAAGTGGATTTCACGATATGCTTCCAACTCTTTTCTCTCTTCATCACCACCACCAAACTCACACAAAGAATGAGCTACCATGTCAATTTCAAACCGCAGGTGCAAAGCTAGATATCTGGAAGCTTCCTTAGCATGGCTTTTGTTTTGTTTCTTGACTGATTCTGCATATGACCCAACAAGATAGTGATCAAGCTGTCCAGGGTGACTTTTGTTTTGATGCAATCTTTGAAGCAGTAAAGCACCAACTTCTTGTATCTTGGGACAAATTGAAGGGCATGAAAATTACATCTGCATCGAAGTCTCTAGATGAAGTTCCCCAATTAGGAGAGTGGAAATGAAAAGTGGTAGGCAAGCAAGCAACTAAGTGAAACTATGTGAGGAAGATGATGTGAATCCAATAAAGAATTCCGTAGAAATAAATGATTAAAGGGTGCCAGAGCTTATTTTCTACCTGCAATTGAAATGGTATTGGATCAAATGCCAAGCGATGCCCGAATCCAAGAAAATGTACAACTCCGTTCTTAAGTAGAAAGGGGATGATGTGTTTCAAGTAAAAACTTGGCTTTGCCTCTTTGGGGATGTCTACATCTGTCACCTGGAAAAATTATAACAAGAATTAGGAACAGACTCATCGTGGAAGAAAACACTTTGATGGTTATGAATACTTAATGTCACTGAGCGACTTACAACACTACCAGTTGCTTCCAAATCTAATGACTGTAGCTCCTTTGGAAGTTCCTTCACTATCCAAATATCACGAGTCAAGTAGTTAATAAAATGCTCCTCCTGATAGATATCGCCGAACTGACTATGAAATCATATAATTAGTTATCATTATTTCAAAGGCAAAAAATATGAGATATAGGATACATGAAGCTACTACAATCAGAACATGAGCAGTATATGAAGAAAACACACATAAATATTACCATTTTGACCTTGATCATCAGAAAAATGAACACTGAAACAATTATCAGAATCACCCCAACATCCAACGAACCCCATTTGAGTTTTGAATCCCGAAGCTAAATGACATTAGCCGTATAGCACAAGAAACAAAGGAAAATGCTTGAGTAGAAAAAGGAAAATAAGTCACCTCACATCTCTCCATATACTGCTATACAAAAATTTGGGAACAACCAGGGTTGAGTTGAGCAGTCGTGCAACAGCAACAGCATTGCAAACCTGCAGCCAAAGAAATAACTATTAGGTAAAAAAATTGATATCACAGAAAATGAGGGCCCGTTGAACCATATCCTATATTTATGTTTTCGAATTGATGATGACTCAATGCAAGTTCATGGAATTGGCATTCTAGTAATCTTTAAAAAAAGAGTGAGTGCCTCAAGCACCACTTACAGCTACTCGCTGCTGGTTCATCCCACCGTTTGCAGTGACCAAAATATATCCATTCTTTCCCTCTATAATGTACCACAGATAAGTTGATATCAGAGCCAGCTTAACGAGTTTACAAACTGGACGAGTGTTGTTTGCGATATTTAAAATGCATGAATAAAGGACTACCGTTAGGTTCCCAGCTCCGTTGGTCCGAACAAATTTTCAAGGAAACAGCAGGAACTAATGGCTCCAGCCACAGATCTTTCGGCTCGGGTTTATTCTGCCCCTGCATCATATCAATAAATCCGGCAAACGAGCCACACCAAATGAGTAGATCGAGATGTCATTAATTAAAGCATCAAAACTAAACTCAGAATCCAGTTAAATCGAGGAGAGAGAGTACCTATGCCAATGCATGGGAAGCCAAAGCCAGCATCCTTCCGTAGTTACCTTTCTGTGCCTTTTTTCCTTTACCAATTTTTCTCCATTTTTCCTGCAAACATACCAAGTAAGAAACACAGAAGGAAAATGTTAAAACCATCTGGTCAAAACTTTCCCGCATAAGCACACAAATTTGAATTCTCCTCCCCGTAGTTTAAATTAGTTTAAGGTAGAATATCGCTCATACCAAAAACAAAAATTTAAAAATTTTCCCATCAAGCGGAGGTGCTCATACGCCTGAGTTTGAATCACCCTCCCCGCAGTCAAAATTAGCTTTAAGTAGGCTATCGCCTGTATCGAAAGCTAAAAAGTTCGAAACTTTCGCATCAACGACATACGCGAATGGTGACAGAAACCGAAGACACAGACGAAGTCCCGGAAAACCCAGATTCAGAACGGATCCCATGATCTTGAAGCCGCAAGAGCATAACGCAATTCATCAAGAAAAATAAAACCAACAATCCAATCACCCCCACAAACCATTTCGCTCGCTTTTTGCTATACCATGCCCTCTCAGCCACCTTCCTGGTAGAGGCCCTCCTCTGCATCTTCAGCCCACTATCCATCTCCCAATACGACGGCGGCGCCTCCGAGGTCGAAAACTGATTGAGGCAGATTCCCGGCGAGCTAGTCGGGGATGACGGGCAGCTCCAGGGAGTGGAGGGGCCGGACCGGTAATGCAGCAAGGAGGGGTTGGGACAGGAGGAGAAGGAGGTGGTGGGGTCGAGGGGCTGAGCTGAGGTGGGTCCATCTTCCACTGATGGGTCTGGTTCAATTTGAACTATGTTTACGGACATCGATTTGCGTGCTGTCGGGTCGTATGGATTTGGACCCACAACAGAAGAGCGGGGACCTTTAGGGAGAAACGCGGCAATTTCGGGTCCGAGGTTGCTAAAAATAGATGTCGGAGTTTGCCAAAAATGGAAGGGCGGAGATTGGGACTGGAATTTGCGGGACCTGTCTGAGTTACAAGTACAACGAGGACTTACCCTTTTTGTTATTTTTTGTCCGCGTCAAGACATTGGCCAATCAAATCCTGTCATTTTAAAAGTGAGGATAAATTACACAAAACTAGTTTAACTATGAATCAAACCACAATTTCATACTTCATATTTTAAACATTGCAATGTCATACCTCAATTTATGAATTCGTTGCACGTCAAATTTGCTTTTGCGCCCAACAATTTGCATTTGTCAGACTATTTGAGTTTATAATTTACATGGCTTTGAAGAACATCAGCTAAACCAAGATAAAAATTTACCGCCAGTTTCCAGAATATTTGCATTGCATTGTTTGACAGTGATTTTAGACTTATTTTTATGTGTAGATAAACTCTATGAATCATAATTACATATCTTTTTAATCTAATTTTAGCACAAATCGCATGTTTTTCTCGGCTTCTTTGTGCTTCATCCAACCCTCGCATCGCCATTTGTACAAGGACTGCAAATATCTTCAACATATGTGCTTCGGCAAGAAAAAAGTCACTTGTCTGAGTCGTCTCCTTCCTGAGGCTTGGGATCAAATCTACACACAAGCTATAGAATCTCTCCTAGCAAGAGAAAGGGGAGAGAGAAGGATGCTGGGGACACTTAAAACGACATGTCAATTGCTTCATGATCGGGGGTCTTGTATCCGAAACTAGATTCATCACTTGAACGTCTGACCACGCTTGCTCTTTGTACTAAGCGGACCAGTGCTTGCACAACTTCGGACATGGGAGGCCGAAATTCAGGTTCCGGCTATATATGCATAAAAAACAATATGAAAATAGGTTAGTTAGTTCTAAAAGATGAGAAACGAGATCTGTTTGACCAAAAATTTAGAAGAGAAATTTGAACGGAATGTTCCCCCATCCCTCCAAGAACCTATTTTATCTTTCCTCATGGAGAAATGACGAGAAGACAGAAAAATGTGATTATCTTCGTCTGCGTGAGCAGCTCGATCTTGCATTTAAGACATTTACAACAACCACTTATTTTTAAACCGTTAGTGATGCTCTTAAAGGCCATAAGTGGGCAACTAATTGCTTGTTTTTTTATCTAACTACAGTAAAAAAATTCCTAATAGCATTAATAAAGAAGTTACCTGAACACAAAGTGCAATGATGTCGGCGAAACGTGAAAGTGACTTTGCCGGATACATGCCATTTAATGCCGGATCAACCATTTTTGCTAGGGCATCTATATCATGTAGTTGGGGAGTAGCCCATCTCACAAGTGATTGTTCTGACCTTGACCTTGAACTAAACATTAGAAGAATTCGAGGGAAATGGGAAACCCTTAATCAACATTAAAAAGAACCCAGAAATGTCAAGGAAAAGCAAAAGAAAACATAAACTTGGCAATTCATTAATGTGGGCCAGGCGTACCTGTCTAGTGGCTTCCGACCAGTCAGCAGCTCGAGCATAACCACCCCAAAGCTGTAGACGTCACTTTTTACAGTGTATACTCCTGATAAGGCAAATTCGGGAGCACTATAACCAAATGAACCTACCATCTGAGTTGAAACCTGTGAATCATGAACTTGAATTGATCACTCGTACATAACAAAAGCATGAGGACTGAATATTTGCTCACAATCTATAAGAACAATTTAACTTCATCAGTTTTACCTGTCGCTCTGTGTTTGGCGTTAGAGCAGCTAACCCACAGTCAGATAAGTGGGGATTAAGCTCTTCATCAAGTAAAATATTTGCTGACTTGAAGTTTCTATGTACAACAGAAGGTAAGCAAACTTCATGCAAGTACCTGACAGAAGAATCTTTAACTTAGTTTTTGAGCAAACATTGTGCAACTTTAACCCACACATAACCCCCACACCACACACAAACGCACACTAATTTAAATGTTGAAATATGTAACATACTCTAAAGCTCGAGCAGTGCCAAGTGCTACCCTAACACGGGCATTCCAAGTCAGAGTCTTACTGCCGTCTTCAGCAAAATGAAGAATGTCATGCAAGCTCCCATTTCCTACATGCTCATAGACTAGAAGACGCTGTCCATGCTCTGCGCAATATCCAGCCAATGTAACAATGTTTGGATGCCTCAAGCGTGACATATTTGAAATAGCTTCAAGGAAATTATCTTCCTCTTGCAAGGATAGTGCTGCATTGTCAATTTTCTTAATGGCCATTACCTACATTACCGAAAAAGGACAAAGAAAAATAAGTTCATGTGCCACTAGTATAACAGTTGGTACTACAGGAGAAATCGACCTCAGAAAAGTAAAAGCTCGGGGTGCCAGAATTTAGTGGAGCCTATATGGCAGGTAACAAACTAAACTTGATCCTATTTTAGCTTTTTTTACTTGTGCTGCAATTACACAAAATCAGCAAACCGTCACTAATTTGTACATATGGAATTATGGATACATTATTGTTTTAAATAAAAGGAAGAAAACAACAATAACGTAAACAAATTTACCTTTCCAACAGAGAACTCTGCTCTGTAAACACGACCAAGAGAACCTTCACCAATAAGAAATTCTTGACTAAAGCTATTTGTTGCTGTTTGGAGAGAGGCAACAGTATAAGGAGTAGCAGTGATAGGTGCTTTTATCCTTTTTGTCGATCCATTTTTACTATGTAACCTATCAACCACCAATATTTCTGCGGGTGGGGGCTTGATATCAGTTACAGCAGCGGTACTTTTTACCCTCTGCTCTTGCATCTCAGTATTTACTGCAAAATAGTGCAGGATGCAGGATGGAAATGGTTAGGATACTCACAGAAGAACATACCGCTACAAATATTTGTAAGAATTAGCTCTAACCTTTTTACATCTATTTGAAAAGGGAAAGTACTAGTATTTACACTACTAAAAATGAATCTTGCTTCAAAGAACCCACTGTGCCTCTCGAATCATATTTCTAGTATATTAAAAAGCCAAACTTCAAAAGGAAAAGGAAAATGAAAAGAAGAGGAAAGCGATTATACCATTATTTGTGCGAGCAGAGACATTTCCACCAGAAGTTCTTGGAGTCCTGTCCTCCCTTTTATTTTTGCGAATGCATAAAGCAAGAGCAAGTAAGACGATGAGTGCAACAAAAACAGAACCCAGAATTATCCCTACCAAAGCCCCGACAGCCAGCCCTTTTTTTGAATCACGTGATTGGCCATCAGATCCCTGTGGGGTTGTTCCAGATCCAGAATGGCTGCGATTCTTAGTAGTTCTTCCTGGGGGAGGTGGGATATATGGTGGTGGCGGAGGAGCAGGACCATTATCAAAACCATTTCCATCATAACTATTTCAATTTTAAGAATAATATTAGATGTATTGAAAAAGTGGAGCACCAAAGTACAGATCTGCATTAAGTAAAGAAGGCGCTCACATAAAAGTACGAATTGAACTAAGCTCTCTAGGTATCCACCCGCTGAAATGGTTGTTCGCAACATTTCTGCTCATAACAATGTGCACAGCAAAGGTATAAGGTTAGGTAGTAGAATTCTGAGTGTCAAAATAAGGAGGGAAAACACCCTTACAAAGTAGTCAAAGGCAAACCCATCAGAACATTGAGAGAACCAGTCAACTGATTATTCTGCATATAGCTGGCACAAATTGAGATGTCATTACAAGTTAGTGCAAATAAACACAGTAGAATATTCGCAAACAGAAGTTTCAAAATAAATCAGTACTTCAAAAAACTCACAGGGAAGAAAGATTGGACAATGAACTAAAGGAACTAGGAATATCACTGGTGAAGTTGTTAAGAGATAGATCCCTGCAAGGAAAAGCATAGCAACCCGCCATATGAATTAGTTTAAAAGGAATTCTAAACAACGCAGCCAAAACATTCACAACATCACGATAACAGAATGCACATGCAAAAGAGTACTAGAGTAAGTTATCTTACAAGGTTGCAAGGTTCACAAGATGAGCAAAAATGTCACCAATCGACTGGGATAGTGAGTTACGGCTAACATTCCTAAAACATGGATATTACAAGTACATTAGAACAGCCTCATGGTGTGTAGTGGAACTGCAGGAGAAAGTTAATGAAACTTCATAAAATTCAATACAGGAAACTTACAAATAGTTGAGAGAAACCATGTTGGCAATAGAATAAGGTATGTTTCCCGTGAAGTTGTTCCTTGCAAGATTTCTGTACATACATACACAAAACAAGAAGGAAAAAAATAACAATTGAGTATCATAGTAGCAAGGAATACAACGTACAAGAACAAAAGAATGAATAAATAAATGATTGGGCATTACAGGCTTGTAAGATTTGGAGGTAGCTGATACGGGATTGTATCATGAAAATTGTTGTCACTCAAATCACTGATGAACACAAAGAACTTGACATTAGTAACTCGGCAAATCAATTGAAACTAATAGAATTTGTTGCAAAATCCTAAACAAAATCAAAATAAAAACAGAGCAATAGCACTCTCACAATTTTCTCAACGATAGCAGATCGGAAAGCAAGTATCCCATAGTTCCACTGAGACCTAACCCGGAAACCTCTCTGTTATAACAACAACAAGACACATTAACAATGTCAATGAAGCAACTCAATTAATTGAATAAACTTCAAAACCGGCCACATTTTCGAAACATAGAATCATACACTGCAACAACAGCCGAGCCCTCACAAGTTACCCCTTTCCATGACTCTCCACATGGATCACCGCCACTACTTTTCCAACCGGTTAGCTGAGAAGGACTGTTTACTGAGGTGTACAAAACTTCAAGTGCTTGAACTGCAAAGCAAAGAACATCACTTCTAAGAAAAGCACACCAATTTCTCACAAGAGCTTTGCTAATTACAGACTGCCTTTATTTGCTATCTGGTAAAATAAATCCAAAACTTCAAAAAATGGGGAAAAGTTTCAAGCTTTGATTCCTCTATGCAATCAGGTAAATTCCTCTGAGCTGAAATTTAGCCTAGTTATGGTAAAATTTCTCATTTTTCCAATAACCAATCACCATTATATGGAAAAAGGCAAAAACACCTGCATTTTTAATTTCCCACAATTTTCTCAGCAGCCAAACAAGGCCTAAAGTTTTCATCTTTGAAGGGAAAAAAAAAATACATCAACAGATCACAAAATAAAATATAAAAAAACCCAAAGTCAAAAGTCCATTTTCCATCCAAAAATCCTCATTTCCTAGAAAACCCATCACCAAATCCGTAAAGCAAAACCAACCCAGAATCGAAGCTCAAAACTTTTATCTAATAAAAAAAATTACTGAGAAAATGATTCTAAATAAATAAATAAATAATGGGAAAATACCATCAGAAGCATCAGTGGTGCCACTAACGAGAGGCAGAGCAGCCAAAGCCGAGGCGATTAGCACGAACTCAATGAGCCAGCGAGTCACAGAGAGCGAGTTAGCAAGAGGGTGAACAGCCATTGCAGCGTTGGAAGCAGAGAGAGGGAGAGAGGGAGAGAGTGTATTCAGGTGAGGTGCGGCGCATGCAGGAGCACCATGGAGGCGCAGGGGAAGAAGAAGCAGCAGAGAGAAGTATTTGGTAGCAGTAGTAGTTGGAGTAGGAGATCGCCACCGGCATTGAGCGACATTGTCATTAAACAAAAGAGTCAAGAGTCTCTCCGGGAGATTCGAAGCTTCAGTAATTAAGAGAAAGAGAAAAATTAAACAAAATTAAAAAATAAAAAATAAAGAAAATGTCACTGTGCATGCGTTGTGTCGGCGAAAAAAGGCAATGGGGAATTTATTAAAAAAAATATGGGAAATGGAGAAAATAAGATGGAGACAGTCTACCGAGGTTTGGTATCTTCCAGTTAAGAAATTTTTTAGTGTGTTCGAAACAGCGAAATTATTAGATCAAGTCAGACTTCTAGTTCGAATACAAATTCTTCAGCGTGTTATCTCAATGTTAGGTCTACTTGAATTTGAATATTTGTTAGAGAGTTTGTTAGCTGTAATGTTGTTTAAAATTCAAACCAATTTGTAAGCTGTAATGCTGTTTAAAATTCAAACCAATTTGTAAGCTGTAATGCTGTTTAAAATTCAAACCTGCCGTGTATTTACCAAGCGAAATACTATATGTTATTTTGTTTTAAATATTTCCATCATTATATAATAACATATGGTATTCGATCGTATTCAAGCACACTAAAAGATCTCTCTTTGGAGTGGAAGAGTGACCAATGACTCTTTTGTGGGAGGTCTCTTTCTGACTATTAGTTTGGACTTTCCTCATTGCTTAGCTCTCGTTGATTTTTGGATCCTCTGCTTTTTTGCCTCTCTTTTCTGGTGTCTACTTTGCTTGGGCTTTTTCCACGTGTATAATTAATTTAAAGAATAGAAAATGACCTATTTTTGACGCAGTTATTATGTGTGTAACTTGTTTATATGTGTTGATGCGCAAAACCAACATATATATATATATATATATATATGTATACCCTTATTGTGACATTCTAATTGCAAGTAAGTTCTTTTGTAATAGAGAAAAGTTTTGGTGGGATTACCACTCTCACATAAAAGGGAAATCCGCATTAAGATATGATTAGCGTGCGGGCAGATGAATCTAAATGAGGAGACAATCTCAAATGTAGAACATAATTTTGTGTATACAACCGTAATATGTAGCCTCTTTCTCAATTAGGTGGGTTCACAGGCATGAATGAGAAAAAATAATGTACATGCACTCTTTATGTGTATGTAGTCGCATAACAATGTTGTGCGATAGGCGAATCTCATGAATTTGTCCAATTATAAATAAGTCCTCCGATGGAAAATAAAAATCTCAATTGAGATAGTCTAATCACGTCATATGTGTGACTACTCCCACAATAAAATGGGACATTACAATAGGATGAAAGCAAATAAAATCAGCAAATACTCAAATGCATAATATCTCATCATAACAATCGCATGAATGGCGTCGTCGGACCGCCCCACTCAAAATATGCTCCTTTAATAGACGATCAACTTACATAGCACATAAATATCGTCACCATGATGCCCATGATAATGATTCAAATTTCAATGTCATTTAGTTTATTTTTATATATTATTAACACAAAACACCGCATCGAATGCACTTAATAAAAGCGGTTCTCCTTGATGGTATGTTCAACTCCGATGTTGATGTTAACTCGTCTAGTTGGGTAGTGGTCGAAATACTTTTGACGCAATGAGTGCAAGCCGCAGAGGGAGAGATTGTGCTTAGTAAATGCACGGAATAATATGTATTTAAACCTAGAAAACCATGATAAGTACCTTTAACAATATTACAAGGACAAATCAAAATCTATCAATTGAAACAAAATATTATATTAATGATCTTTTCTTCACCTGATCTCATTTTAACTTGTTTAAAAAATTATATTTTAATCGTCACCAACTCGTCATGACCATGTCAGATGATGTTTCTTATCTGTGAGAATTTAACACCTAATTTTAGTTAATTAAAAAATATATAATTGTCAAATTCTCATTGGTGGAAACGCCACCTGGCACAAATGCCGAAAATTTTCTCCATTTCAACGCCACCATTCATTTATGGCTAAAAAAAATTTTGTTTAATGTCATCCACTTGATGATGTGTATATAATTTTCACGAAGGAGTTCACTTATGTCATAACTCTTGGGTTCAAATTTAAAATTTTTAGTCCAAAAAATTTAGGTTTTAAATTTTAGGTTTGAACCCATTACAGTTTTTTTACTCTAATCCTCCTGGGTTAAAATTTTAGTCCCAGATTATTAAAAAATGAATTTAAGTTTTTTTTTTTCTTAAAGTAACTTTAAAAAAAAAATATGTAGATTATACTAATTTAATTTTATGAATATTTTAACTTAAACATATTTAGATTCCGACAAATATTGAAAAATCACTAACCGACACCATGAAACTTGTGAAACACTATGAAAAAATATGAAACACATAAAAATAATTTTTTTTATTGATTTAGCCGTTGGATTTAAATTTGGACCATTAGATATTTATTTTTTTACCGTTGAATTTCATCAAATTAGATTTTAACCGTTGGATTCAATGAGTTTATAAATATAAAACTGAAAAAATATACACATATGGTGGGCCAACCCCACTAATTCAAGGGGAATCCTGGACTAAATTTGGCCCATAAATAAGTTTTGAGTTTTAACTTATATTTGTCCCAAATGTTGGAGCAAGTTGAGGTAAGTTTATAACCTAAAATTTGAGTTTTACTCTAAGGGTTGAAGTAGGTCTTACTCATAAATTTGTGTGATGATATAAATCCATATTTTTTGTATGCATGAGTGTGTTGGTGCTAATTTTGTAGAGCGCATTTTTACTCATCACTTTCAATTGTTGTAATGCTCACTATTAGGGGTGGGCATGGGCTGAGCCTAAATTTGAAAAAATCGGACTGGACCCGTTTAAAAATGTAATGGGGCGGGCCGGATCAAGTAATGCCATTTCTAAATTTGGAACCGAACCTAACCGGCGCCGTTTGAAATGAGCTGATTCCGAGCAGGTCCATGGGTCCAATTTTACATATATATTTTTTTGTCAGCCTGTCGTTCATCTTCTTTGGCTGATAACCCAGATGTTCAAATAAAAAACAGTAACATTAGGATAATTTGCAACAAGAATTGAAGAACCTATGAAGGTGACCCTACATCGGTGAGTGTCTGTCAGAAATGCCGGGACGTCCCTTGGGAAAACCACCGAACCCGCTAAGCTACTAGAACCTGGAGGGGCGCAAAACAAAAGCGTGAGTGGGCAAAAACAAATTCTTTGAAAACCATTTCATAAAATACATTCTAACCCCTCGCCGTAAAACCTGTATACTTCCCAGAAAATAAACATATATACGTAGGTATAAATATGCCAAATATGCTCAAGGGTATACCATCATGCTCAAGGCCTCATAATAATATGCAAGTGCTCAGGTATAAACCGTGTCAAAACTTATCACTGGCAGCCGGAGTCACCTAAAGTGACCTGTACGGTTGAATCTAGAGCTCAAATCTCAATCTCAACAACTAAACCTGCTCACAAGTCGGAACCACCAATAGTGGTCTGTACGACAAGCCTGGGTGTAATACATATAAACGCTCTAATGCTACGATCACGTGAAGGCTGTGCGAATAATCGCGGGTCACCTACGAGTCGGAACCACCTACAGTGGTCTGTATGACAAGACTGTGCACCTAACTTGGATCCAAGCTGAGCGTGTGGTGCGGGAGGTGAACGACACGTGAAGGACTATGCCCTACTCAGGGCGGGAGCACTAACACCGGGGGTGCAGGTTATGAGCTCTCTAAACACTTCGAATCACTAATTAATGCAAAGGTTAAATAACGCTTACCTGGCACTTACCTGCGCCTCCACAGCACCAAATATAAATATGTATATGTATGCCACTACTAATGCATATGACAATGCATAAACAATAAGGATATGGTGCATGGCATAAAACAAATAACCTTTTTTAAACAATTTCTGGGAATGTAAATGTATATAGGTATATACGGAAAACCAAAAACCCACTCATTGGTATGTGGAAGGGTCGTAGCCCCCCTGCCTCGAGTGTGCACGCTCGTCCTCGGGATAGGAATCACCTATATGCGAATTAACTATAAAAACGTTAATTTTAAAGCACATAACCTTCCGCTCAAAATAACTTCTCATACATTGCTCAAAATGGACAAATGAATATACCAACGTGCTCTACACAACCTCAGGATCACAACCATATTTTTAGAAAAATTTTCCTCCGCCGCACGCGCCGCCACGCGCCGGCCAAGGCACGGCCACACGCGTCGGCCACGCGCAGGCACGTGTGGCGCACACTGACGGCGTCAACTGACGCCGTTAGGAATATTCCGTCAAAACTGACAGATTCCGTTAACGGCATCAGGAATATTCCGTCAGAATCCTGACGGAATATTCCGTCACCTTCTCCGGCGAGGCTCCGACGCCGTCGCCGGAAAACCTGCAACTTGGGTTTTCTCGCTCGTTTTTCAACCGTTTTTCACATTTCTTGCACCAAATTGAAGCCCTAAGCTAGTAGAACACGTCCAAACAAGTTTTAAGGCCTAAAACTATAAGGTTTTACCTGTACAAAAACTCCATAGCCAGCCAAACTCGAACCAGGCTATCCCTACGTCCAACCTCGTCCAACGATGCACTCTCAAGCTCCTGGGAACCTCACAAGGACATCTAAGAGCTCCAAAAGTCCAGAAACAAGCTAGAATAAGTTTGCATGAATAGTGCTCAAAACGGAGTTCGTGAAATCGACGTGAAAACGTTGAGGTTCTTACCTGAAAATGGCACCACTGGACTCCTCTCAGCCTCACGAACTTGATGGTGTACTTGGTTCCCTCGATCTGCAAAGATTTGGTGGGTTTTGGGTTTGTTCGTACACTCGAAGGAAGAAGAAGAAAGAAAGAAGGGAGCTCGGGGGAGAGAGACAGGGAAAAGACAGAGGGAGAGGGAAATCGACAGTGTGTGTGTGTGGTCCAACTCTGGCCAACACCACACAAAACAACCAAAAACATAACGAAAACAAACTAGGGGCAAAACAGTCTTTTCACACGTACGTTTCCGATAATTCCGGGACGGGATGTCACATACTTGCCTAAAAAGGGTTGACATGCATACAAGTTAACCGAATCATATAAAATGTTTTCAAATCCCAAAACCTCCAATATCTCCTACTAAATCCCAAAACAGTTTTCAAAGAAAAACAATCATATAAATCGTTGAACCCACTGGCTTCTCCGATTTGAAGCCTTGCAGCCACCGTCTTCTCTGATCACAATGGTGAGGTGATGTCGTGACTCGTCTGGTGGCTGCTATGATGTCGACGTGGTCAATTCCAAGGGTGGGAAGGAGAAGCGAACTAGAAAGTTTAGAAACAGAGAAAGAAAGTTGGGGGAGTATAGGAGTGGGGGGAAGGGGATTGAACGAATAATTACCTTGTCCATTAATTGTATGGTAGAAACAGGTTGGTCGGGGCCCCTTGATTCTAAGATTATGGAACTGCCCTGCCCTGTAAATACCCTCTCCTTGCCCCGCCCCACCTCGTTTTAGTCTTTACCAAGTTAGGCCCCGCCCCAACCTGCCCCACCCCGCCTCGTGGGTCCTGTACAGTTTGCCCACCTCTACTCACTATCTTATTTATTATTGTTAAATAAACTTAAATTTTAAAATTTGTTGAAAATAACACATACACCCAACATATGAAACACATGATTTTTTGAAGTTACTCCAGAATGTCAATATATCTATATATACATATATACATATATATATATATATATATATTTGTCGTAAAAATGTCAAAAATCTTCGATCTTTACAAAAATCGGCCTTGGCAGCATTATTATGCGAATCACGAGAAAGCTAACATTAATTGAAAATAAAGTGGACTTGCTAATCATGAAAAGAAAGTCCAATTTCAAATATTTATGATTTTTATTCGTTTTAGAAAAGTTAATTTGTACAGTAATTTTACTACTTTTTGAAGTGACCCTAAATAAACGTTGCTGCGAACATTATTTTTCTTTGGCCATCAATTAAGCCACAAATTATCATCATTAAACAATAGGGAGCATCACTTAAAAGTTAAAGATACTAAAATAATATAACATTAAACTCTATATTTTTAATCATTTCATTTTAAAACAAAAGCACAAAATTCATTAAGGTCGAACCCAACAAGTAGAACTTTGTCGGTTTCCTAATCTAACAAATCTATCGTTTAACCAATAAATTAAAAAAAGGTTGAACTCAAAATCATGATACCAATTTTTTTTTTTTTAAATTACCACCACATATGTGACATCCCACATCGCCTAGAGGAGTGATCCTTATATATATATATATATATATATTCTCATCCCTACCTAGCACGAGGCATTTTGGAAGCTCACTGGCTTCGGGTTCTATGAGAACTCAGAAGTTAAGCGAGTAGCGCACGAGAGCACTCCTAGGATGGGTGACCCATTGGGAAGTTCTCGTGTGAGTTCCCATAAACAAAATCGTGAGGGCGTGGTTGGGATCCAAAGTGGACAATATCGTATTACAGTGGTGGAGCGGGCCCGAAAAATGATCTCCCTGGGCCAGGATGTGACAACATACCCCTAAGAGAGGCCATCCTGCACAACTTCAATAAAATTACATGGGTTTGGGACGATTAATATTTGGACTTGTAAGGTGCCATGCTTCCCATCGTTCAAAAGCTATTCTCCATTCGATGAGTTTCATGTCATCTTCATCTTGATTCAATTTCTCTACCCGATTAATAAACATTTGATTTCCTAGTTAAAATGAATGAAGGGGAAATTTGTAAAATGGTATGTCAAAGTGAGTATTTATTTATTTATTTTAAAAAAAGGTTGAGAAAACTCACATAGGCGTTTTAGCCTCTCATGACCACCTATCGTGTGATTCACCAGCACCAGAAATAGAACTCAGAATATGTCGTGTTGAATACGAGTTTGAAATTCGTCTCTAACTACTAGGTCACACTGTGGTGATTGTCAAAGTGAGTACGTTTGGTTCAATTTAAAAATGCGAGTATTTCTAATTTCAATATGTAAATATTGAGTACTTTTGTTAAAATCCAATTTTATTCCATGAATGGGAAGGCAATGAATTGCCCGTGATCGCCTTTAGATTCCTTCAACAGTGTCCATAAAATAATTAGAGACACCGCATCATGTTGTTTAACAATTATTCATTTGTTCGTTCATAAGCTTATTAAAGTAGTTGTTTGCACTTTGCAATGTCATATTAGCCGTTGATTACACACCAAATAGAGAGATCGACACATACTTAAATACGATATAATTAATTTAAGAAAAATTAATAAAAATGACTTAAAAACTTTAAGTTTTAATGATAAGGATAAAATAAAGGATAAATTGAATAGTACTATGATTGACTTTTTAGTGTAAAAATGTGGTTTTTCGTTAAAGTAAATAGTACCGTGAGCTTTTCGTTAAAATTCCTATTAATTTATGTGTTATATATATTACAACGAATGACATTGTTATATATGTAAATTATAATATAACAAAATTCACAACACAATGTGTCGGTGTTATTTATTTATTTTTATTTTTTTGGAAACTAATGTGTCGGTGTTATAGTTACTTGAAACGAAAGGAATAGACCAGAGGAAGCACACTTCCTCGTTGACTGCCTGAAATTTTTGCTTTTTGATTTCATAATTAGGTTAACAGAATAAAGAACTTTTTCTCAATCTTTCCATATTCAGATGAACCGAACCACTAGGTGGTTTGTGATTGAAGATGAATTATAGGCTTGTATTTTACACGATATATTATGAGTTTAATTTTTAGCATTGACGAATCACACGTTGATAACTAGAGGAAGCTAAATGTCTTTCAAGATTTAAAAAAGATATACTATTGTGACAAAATCATCAACTTATCTTTCTAAAAAATCAGATGGACGGTAAGATCCCATGATCTAGTCTTCATAATATTTTATGTTATAAATCAATCACTTTCTGTTAACTAGATTTATATTAATTTCAACAATTCGTTAACAGTACTCAATCTTGTACATACATATAAGAATCACCACAGTCGTATATATAATAATGGAAAAAGATCCTCTCTATATCTTTTTTACAAAAATCATCGGATTAAGTGATTCGGATATTTGAATTTTAATCCAACGGTCCACCTATTTTGATTCTTTAAAATTTATAATAATTTTTAATTGTTGGATAAAATTTCAAAGAGCCAGATCACTTGATTCGGTGACTTTAGTGAAAGAGATCTGGATAATCTCTTTCCTTTAATAATTCCAATATACTGTTCTGCATTTTAAGTCACGCTGCAGTTGTTCCCCACTTAAGAATAAAAAAGCTGTTCCGTCGCTTATAAGTGCTTATAAAACGATTAAAATTTCTTTTAGAAAAAATATTTTTAAGTTTTAAAAATATTTGAATGTTTTTTCAGAATTTATTTTCGTTTTTATTAAAAATTAATTCTAAAAATATTTTCATTAAAAACACATTCAATCATTCTAAAAATACTTTCAAACGAGAAATAATAAAAATATGCTACAATGGCTATTAGTCAAGAAATAAAAAACAAGTTGTTGAATGTTCTACATTGATCGTAACAATGAGAAAAGAAAAGTTTAAATATTTTAACCCCTACTTCAACTAATACTGAGATATTTTGTGATAAAATCCAACACCTAACAGATTGTATAAGTGATAATTACCAAATTTAGGATAATATCAGTGCGGTTGAAAATGAGCATTCGATCCGTCTATTTGATAATTCTACGCACGTTATGTAGAACACGTCTTTGTTGTGACATGTGAAAGTGACAGTAGATATGACACGAAAAAGTTATCCCAAAAAGCCGGTGAGAATTTGTCCCCATCCCATAAACCAAACAAGGCCATTCATAGGAACAGAAGCTTGCCACTCTTTCCCTTCAATAATCAGCATGGCCCGCGCACTGCATGTCAATTTCATGTAACTTTCTACGTATTATACTACAGTCCTGCACAATGAGCGGACTAACGACTAGGCATATATATAAAACCCGAACTGAACCGTGTACGTTCGGTAAATTCAAACTGAACCGCGTACGTTCGGTTCAGTTATGATTTAAAGAATGAATCGGACCGAATTAGACCGCATAAGCAAAAGCTTAGCAACAGTGTTCAACTTTAAATGACAAATCGACATCGAAGTAAGCAAAGAATAGTCCCGCAACAGTTGTCATTGCTTCCACTTTGTTTGTCATTTTCTTAAATTCCAAGTAAGATATGCGTTTTTTACCACAAAAAGAGTAAGATATGCTTTAGTCACTAGTCCACATGACCACCATCATCCACCATTATTCCAAGTTATGTACAACTTTATATATACTGCCAATTGTACACATGCTTTTGAAAATAAATTCACAAAGAGACAAAGTATAAAATAGTTATTGTTGACGACTTTAAAAAGATTTTCGTTGATGGTGTTTCTAAATAACTATTCGTCATTAAAAGTATATTTTTATTTAGAAGAAAAACGTGAAGGAGGAAATAAGGACAATTGATTACAATGAACTCACTATTGGTTTATCGGCTATTTCAATAGTTTAATTCTGCAATCTTTTTTACCGAAAGTAGCACTTTGCGTGTGGTGATTTTAGACCTCCAAAGTCTAGTCCGCCTTCACATGTCACTCCAATATGTCATAAAAAAAAAGATGAAGATAATCTTATTCTCCTTTAACTGCAACAACTAATAAAACATGCTTGTTTATAAGTGTTTTTCAAATGATTAAAACCGTTTTTATAGGGTTGAAGCCCAATTAAGCCTTGGTCCAGCCCAGTGTTACAATCAACGAGGCCTCTAATTTTGGGTGACCCGGATCCAACGGACAAGAGTTGGCCCATGCCGACGGAAGAGAAGTCTGGCAATTTCGTAATTTTAAAGATTCCGGTACCCTTGAAGGTGTCGTCAACTAAAGTACCTGCCAATGGCGGGTGTGGAACATGAGGCGGCACCAGATGGCAGATGCGATAGAAAAATGCGAAGACAGCGAGAGAGAACTCGACCTTCGGTAAGCGGTGGCCGAATTTACTATAAATTCCTAAAAGAATCCGAATAAATCATGAACAAGAAAGGCTTGGCGATTTTATTGCGTACCAGAATGCAGCGCCCAAGCTCCGATCCCAGAGACCTCGCCCGCTCTCCTCTCGCCGTAAGCGATTAAGCATTTCGATTTTGTCCGAAATCCGTGTTTTTTGTAGGCCGCGTTTGGATTGCGAAGAAAAGTTAATGGAATTTTACTGGTGATTTTGCAACAGAACGTTGTTAACCAAACGCTGCCTAATTCCGATGGAGGACGATCGAGCGGACGACTGGTGCAGCATGGAAGCGAAAAGCTCAATGCCTCGACCAACACCGAGAGGTTTATTATTTTATTTTATTTTATTGAATTTATACGATTTTTTTTTTGTTACCGTAAAAGCTTGAAGTTTTATATTTTGAATGCGATTGTGAAATTCCGAATTTTTCTAGGGAATTTGAAGTTGTGCGGGAGTCCATGCACTCGGCGATTTCACTGAGCAAAACCGAAATTTTAGACTCTGTACTGAACGATTTCTCGGAGGTAGTTGTTTTTTTTATGCTTCTAGAAAAAGCGCTTTTGCTGAAAGAGCTTATGAGCAGAAGTGTTTTCTGCAAAAGCATTGCCAAACGGGCGGCTAATTGTATTTTGGATGCGAAGTTCACTTTCGTTGTTGTTGTTGTTGTTGATAATGTAGGGATATTTTAGCCTCTCTTACGAAAATCGTCGAAAGCTACTTGTACTACTTGCCATAGAGTATGATCTTAACAGGACGCAAGTTCGCAATTTGATCAAGCAATATTTGGGACTTGAGCTCCCTGAAAGTAAGTCTTGTGTTGATTATCTTATGAGAATTGTCGAAAATTGCATTTGCACTCTGTATTTTGTGAGTTTGATGCAATGTGTGTCTGTAGGTGACAGTGCTCCCTCAACTGGCTCTGAAGAGGAGACATCTCTTTCTGCTTTCTACCGTATTGAGCGCAATCTGAGACATGCTCTCAAGCCGATGTACGAAGTTCTGTTTGAGCGACTCAACACACATCCTGGCGGGTTGAAGTTCTTGTCCAATCTTCGAGCTGATATTCTATCTATTATCGCGTAAGGTTATGGCATATGCCCCACATGATGTGTTTTTGGTTTATTAATTTTCTGTCCCACACAATGTTTTGAATTGAATTGAACCAAAATATTTGAATATGACGTACAACTATTAGTCTATTACAATGTTAAGAAATGAAATTGAGCCCAAGGAGTTTTAAGATTTTATGAATTGTTATCTTTTCATATTTTCAGAGAGGAAAATACTGCATCTTTGCGAGCACTGGACTCCTACTTAAGGAGAAACTAAGTACATGGCTTAGTCCTGCTGCCTTAGAGCTTCACCAAATCACATGGGACGATCCTGCCTCTTTACTGGAAAAGATTGTGGCATATGAGGTATTTATTTGTCTTGTGTTGTAACATGGCATGCTATGTGTGTAGCCTTGACACCCTCCTATTATATTATTGTATAGGCTGTGCATCCAATCAGCAATCTTATAGATCTTAAGAGAAGGCTGGGAGTCGGTCGCCGTTGTTTTGGATATTTACATCCAGCAATACCTGGTACTCTATTATTGTTGTTTTATCTATTCACGTATTGATCTACTTCTTGTTGGTTTTTGTCTGTCTTTTTGGTAATTCGTGATGCTACCTAAGAGTAATATCACAGTTACTTATTCAGTTGATAAATTTTTCCTTATGTAGCCGTTCGTTGTATTGGGTAGGACTACATACTAGTATATGTTTTTTATATTGTTACTATCTTCTTTAATCAGGCGAGCCCCTTATTTTCATCGAAGTTGCACTCATGAAGGATGTGGCTCAAACAGTACAGGTCAGTTTTCTTTAAGCTTTACTAGACGACTTCTTCTTCTTCTTCTTCTTCTTGTGGTGCTTCTTGTGGTGATATATTTTATATATTCATGATAGGAAGTTTTATGGGATGACCCTCCTACTCCAGAATGTGAGGCTACATGTGCATTGTTTTACTCCATATCATCAACTCAGGTGTGCATATTGTTACATATTATTCTTAAATTTTAAGTATCATATTCACTATTTTCCTTTTTTTGAAAGGGGATATTAACCTATTACTTCATTTTTTTGCGACCATTGCCTGATCTGAACACTTTTAAACTTCTGCAGCCTGGCTTATCAGGGATCAACCTGGGAAGGTTTCTAATTAAACGTGTGATCACACTTGTGAAAAGAGAAATGACAAATATTTCTGTAAGTGTTTCAATCCCTTTTGGATATTTGAATATGTGACTTTGAATATATGTCATATTCAAATATATGACATTTTAGCTTGTTCAAATAAATTTTCAGAAATGAAAGTATAGTGCGCTTCACAGGAAATCAAAAGAAACTGTAGAGTAGAGGATATAAAATATTAATCATACTTTCTCTGGCTAAAGTCTTGCTCGTGGATTTATCTCACACATGGCCTTTTGTTTGTTTATTCTAGACTTTTGCGACTCTCAGTCCCATCCCAGGTTTCATGCAGTGGCTCCTATCGAAGCTGGCTTCTCAATCAAAACTTGCTGAAGGTGAAGCAATGCCACACTCACCAGCTTCTGATAGGTCCAGTTCTACGTTTTCGGAGAAAATTCTTGAACCAGAAGAGGAAAGAGCACTTATGGATGCTTCTGCGTAAGTCATTTTGTAATTGGCGCATTATGTTAGCATCTAGAGAGTAACATGCTTAATAACTATTTCAGTAAGAATGCTTCATAACATTTTTCACTTTCAGGGAATTCAATTCTGGGAAAAATAGCATGGACGTGATGTTCAACTTGCTGACTTCACCAAATCATGAGTGGACAAATTCTGATAAATTGCTTTCAGTATTAAAACCCCCTCTAATTCGACTGTGTGCCAGGTATATTAATATTACTAGTAAAATTGGAGATGACAGGTCTGTTATGAAACAGCTACAAGTGAATACCATGTAATTGGCAATGACGTGATATCACACAAACTAGTTTTACAGTCTCGTGTTCTTTGTTCTGTGTGAAACGCTACTAACAGATTTTAGTTCCGTTGATTATAGGTACCTTCTCCAAGAGAAAAAGAGAGGAAAAGCTCTGGATTCTGTTGCGAATTTTCACTTACAGAATGGAGCTGTATGTCATCTAACTCAAATTTGCAGAACACTAGATTCGTTGTATAATTTGATGGACAAAGTAAAACGATTTCTCCTTAACGCACTGATATGCTAAGCCTGAGTTTTCTTACTGCAAATTAGATGGTCGAAAGAATCAATTGGATGGGGGACCGGTCAGAGAAAGGCCTGCATCAAAGTGGAGGTATGATGGTGAATTATGTTTACAGGTAACTAAAACCAACCTTTTACTTTTTTCGGTCATAAATTTCAGTTTCATTAGAACATCTCAAAAGATTAAGCATTACCTATTGAATGATATCATTGATTCATGGTTGCAGACTGGGGCAAATTGAAGACTATGCTCAGTCATATTTCAGTACAGGGCTTATCCATACTTCTAGTGATCTTCGCCGTTACGTTGAGACAATTAGTCGTGTACAAGAGTGACGGCATAATGATTTAGTCGCGTTTTCTTCGAATGTTGACACTTTCATGACAAAATTTGTGTCTAATATCCGGTTTTCTGAAGATTGTAAGGCCTGAAGCCCTCTAAACAGATGTCCAAATGTACATATTTAGTTATGATTCTCAATAAAACTAAAGAATTGTTATCCACCAAACTGAAAAAAGTATATATCTAGTTATGTTTTTTGCACTTGCTCAAGGTATTAGCCCTTGGATTGGGCGGTTCAGTAATAGTAATATGTGGGTTGAAATTTTTTTTTTTTTTTTTTGGTCAAATGATAGATTTGTTAGATTAGCATTTGAGCGTTAGTTTTCTCCAATAATTTATATTATATATATTATTATGGTGAAAATTTCATTGTTTTTTTGGGATAAATTGCCATAGACGGTCAATGGCGAGCATCTTCAAGAGATGCTGTAAAACAAAGAAAACCTTATTTTAAAGAGCTAAACTCAAATAATTCATCTCCAAGAGATAATGTAAAAGAGTCTTTAGTATAGCAAGATGGACACTCACTCTTTCAATTCAGAATAAACTATTCACGTGCTAAATATTAACAAAATAATAAAACTCATATTTTCTACCGTACATTGGTAACAAAACAAATTAAACCAGACGTTGCGGTAACAGTTGAAACATGTACAGAATAGAGTCCTACGTCGGAAACCTGCTTCATCTTTATGTGGTGATTCGATCATATCAATTCTCACTTTTCCTGATCACCTTCCACGTGACTTATTTCTCGGACATTATCTCTCATGAGCCTCGTATTGGATTCATCCACCATCTGCAAAAACAAAAACAAGGGTAACTTTTCTCTTTATCTCCATTCCATAGGTAAAAAGCAGGTAAAACAAATAGCCGTTTTTACCCACGGCATTCGGGATAACAAAAAATGAAAAGGCAAGACCATCTTCAAAGAAATGTCAAATTACAAGAGTTAAAGTATAATTGATGGTTGACGTGGTAATCTGAAGTTTTATGTCAAATTTTGTAGTACTCTAACCGAATTGTCAAATATTATTTTATTATTTAAATATAGCTTTAAATTATTGTAAATATTAAAAAAATGTTGAAATAAAATTTTTATTAGTTGAAATGTTAGTGGAATAAAGGACCCACTATTAAAATGAATTAAAAATAAATTTGACATTAATGTCAAATTTGAAATCAAATCACTAAGCCTTTAAATTCAGTCAACAAATAACACTTCGATTGATTAGAGAGACTCTTGATGTTAAATATGCACAATGACATTCTACCTAAGATTTTGATACCTTCTTTGGAGATAGCTCTAAGAATCCTTACCTTGAAAGCTAATCGCTGCAAGTTGTCCCACTCGAAATCATTTTTACAGTATGCAGATCGAACCTGGACAACAAATGGCCTTCTATGTTCAAACTTGTGAACGTTAACAAGTTGGTGGATTAAAAATCAAATAAAATAAGCATGCAAATTGACTTATTTCGTCATGGACTTATGATCTCAAGCTGCCATGTGGACGCCACATAAATCACAAAGAAAGTCACATTGTCAAAAGTCAAATTAGGATCAGCCGTCCGTTTTTATTATCGTCGCTAACAAAATTTCTCAACATGTTATTGGTAATATTTTCGACAATATCGATATGTGTTCATATGCAATAAAGAACAGGCATCCTGCATAGAGTGTGTAGTAGGAGCCTAGAAGTTGTTGGATATGGACTTACCTAGACCCTTATGCCCGGAAGATTCTCTCGTCAGATTGGCACAGAATTGGTCTCCATCATTCAACGAGTTCCTGCTCAGAAATTCCATCAGCTCTTCGTATGCCTCCGTGTTGTAACTCTGCTCTGAGAAATTTACTGTTAACATCCGAAAATACTAATGAATTTGACTATGAAATTAAGAACAAAGGGATGGAGGAGGAAGGAACCTCAAGCTGAGCGCAGACAATCCTAACTGCAACATAAGTGAAGAAACTGTGGAGGTTGTTGGCCGCCTTTGCTTCCGGCGAGGGTTCTCCAAATCCTGCATATGGCATATCGGAAAGTTAAAACGCATAACATTGTACAAGTGAATAACGCATTGTCAAGTGAGTCGAAGGTGCGTTATTGACTTGGATACTGACACGGATGCCTAACATCCCCGTTGTAGTTAACTAATTCTTGTCAACAAATATATTGGTGTAGGCCAAACAAAAATTTACTGAAGTACCAACCAGGGACGTACATCTTGTGGCAGTGCATGCGAGGGGGACGAGAGGCTCTTGGTTTAGAATTGGATAGGCAAGAACGATTGCAAGGTAATTTGCTTCTGTTGGGTTTTAGTGGGAATAAAGAAGGGAGCTGAGAGAGTGGGAGAATTGCCGCAGAGTATTCCATGGATAAGTAACTGACAGCAGAACAAACCGAACTGGGATTTCTGAGTGATCCACAAGTCCAGCTCTACTGTCCAAAATATCTATTAGAACCTACATGGCAAGCAGGAGTTTTGATAACCATTTGTGGAGCCCACCAGTTCATTTTCCCCCATCCTATTTAGTGAGAACTTTTATCGCAAGTTGTATGTCTCGTACTAATAATACAATATCATATATAGATTTGTCTTTACATTATACTATATCGTGCTTATGACACGCAACACTTACAATATGACTAGGCCATTGAAGTTACTCTTTCATTTAGCAACGGTCAAACTCCAGTCCTTGCTTTCCTTGAGGAAAATATTTGGCTTGTTCATTTGAAAGTGTGACATTTGTGTATGTGACAAAGTTCTTGGTGGTGTTGGCTTTGATTGGCCGGCCTATTTTACGCTATGGAGGTGAAGTAGACTTGTAGATCTTGTTCTATTGTTTGACTAGAGCAGTGTTCACATCGAAATAACTGCATAGAGTCAAATGATATCAAAATACAAGGAATTGTATGCATTTAGTCGGAGACTCCTACCCTAATTTTTTCTCCAACTTCAACCCATCGGTCCGCCGCCCGCCTACCCAATTTTAAACAATTTAGTAAGGAAAATCAGTCTCTCTTGCTCTTGTCCTCTACTTGAAGCCAAAAGAATTCCCCTTTAAGAATCAAAATGCCAGAGTTGTTCGTGATTAAACGAATCATAAGCAAAAGATGACGACAAAGATAAAACACGATGCTGTCACCCCTCTATTTTAATAACTCCAAAATTAATCTAGCTAACTCACAATCATCAACCAAGTCTTTAGACTATAATATGATCTCTAAGCTCATTAAAATTTTCATCACCCCTTCATTCTGTCTCAGTGTCTCCGCACGAAATGAGAATCTTCGCGGCGGACGGAAATGTACAAGTCAAATTCTTAGCCCTCCATTTTTTTCTCCTCCTATCCTTCAAAGCCAAAGCCAAATGCAAAACTGGCTGCAACGCCTTGGCCTCATACTATGTGTGGGAAGGTTCAAAACTCACTTACATTAGGCACATATTTGGCCAACAAACTCAAGAAATTCTCAAGTACAACCATGGAGTCGCGCCCGACAAAGACCTCGTCGTCGGTACGCGACTCAGCGTACCCTTTTCGTGTGACTGCTTAAATGGTGACTTTCTAGGGCACACCTTCGAGTACACAACGCAGCATGGTGATACCTACAAGAAAATTGCTGAGTCTGCTTATGCTAATCTCACCACAGTGGAATGGCTGCAAAGGATGAATTTTTATGCGGTAACTCAGATTCCGGATGAAGTTCCAATCAATGTAACAGTGAACTGCTCTTGTGGCAATAAACATGTGTCCAAGGATTATGGTTTTTTCGAGACGTACCCTCTCCGCTCCGGCGAGGACTTGTCGTCCCTGGCTTCCGAGACCGGTGTCCCGGCACCGTTGCTGAAGATGTACAACCAAGGGTCCGGCTTTAGTTCTGGGAATGGCTTAGTCTTTGTGCCGGCAAGAGGTTAGCATGCACTACAATTATTTTATATTCATTACTATACTCCTCAGAAAAATTAAATAGTTCACACGAGTAATATCATCTAGGGCAAAAACTTAGATAGGAGAGCCGCACCACGTTATTTAGAGAGTGACTCATATAAAATTACGTGATTCATTTATCTCGGCATCATTTAAAACTATGCTAGTCTCATCTAATGTGAGAGTTGTCCTAATCAGACAGTCCTACCAAAATTTCTCTATTAAGCAAAATATAATTTTTAGTACTCATTTGCATGACAACTGCAGTGACTAGCAATAATTTTAATATGCTCCTAATTGTCATTAATTAATCAAATGCATGACAACTGCAGTGACTAGCAATATATTAGACAAATATATTGGATTTGGTTTTATTCTTTGTCCTTTGCTAGGTCTTTTTCTCTCGTTCGTACAAAACACATGGACGATTTATCTTTTACGTTATGCTGAGAAAAGGAAATATGAAAAGAAAATTACTTGCTGCTGGCATGCTGCTAATCAGACAGTGCTGAAACAATAATTAGAGAATAATTGAAGAGATTATCTGATAATTGCTGTAAATTAAAAGACAAAAAGCACAGTTGCATTGTGGATGTTTTGTCCCTTTGTTGAAGATACTAGACGAGTCTATGTGAATGGAATAGGACAACTGCTAATCAATCAGATGGGGGACTTGATTTAGCTTTCTGGTGGTGGATTATTATAGTAATCCCAAGTCCAAAGATGCTCATATACACATTACGCGCGTTTAGTATTCATTCATTAATCCGGCTTTGAAACGGACGTCCATTCAATAGCATCAATAATGTGTCTATGTCATTGTCACATATCGATAAATGACTCAGCGTAACATTCGAAATGAACTTAAATGACAACTTTAAAGAACCAAATATTGGAAACAAAGTTCCAAAAATATTTTCTAAACTTAAAATTCATTTTTAACCTAGTAAATGCTCCTATGTCAGTACATCACAACAAATCAATGAGTTTGACTCATAGCGATTCTCTTTGAAATGACATATTACAGCCCAAATCGGAGCTCCGATTCTAAATCTGTGATGATTGGATTTATCTGCTAGTTTTGCGCCTCTCATGTTCACTTCGTCATTTGTTCTACATCAGCGCCTGTACTGTTAGAATGCTGCTCCTTAATTATATGAATTAAGCCAAAACGAAATTCATTACTTCTGTTAAGCTACGTAGTGCAACATTATTTACAAGTCTATTAGCCTTAATCACGCAAATTAATTGCTGAATAATAAGTTTAGTTTCCATCTTACCGGCACGCGACGGAGACTGTTTGCTGTCTTTGTCACTAAATTTCGGCTCTTTATTTTGCAGATCAAAATGGGAGTTTCCCACCGTTGAAGTTGAGGTAAACTCTATGCACATTGACATGTTCGGTAATTTTCTTTTGAGTTGTCTGGATATTTTATCTCATTCTATGTTTGTCCTTCTTTGCAGTGCAGCTGGTAGGAGCTTTTACGATTATACTGCTTCGATGATATCTCTCTTAAACTTCAAAATTGGCATTGTTTTGATGTCTAGTGCCTTCCATTGTGATGACATTTGAGCAGGTATCACGGGTGGAGCAATCGCTGGCATATGTGTCGCGGGCGCTTCTGCAGCTCTTACTTTGGCACTTCTTTTGTATATTTGGCATTATAGAAAGAAGGTGGTTGAGGAGGCACCATCTCTTTCTGCAGCTTCTCTTGAAGACCGGTATATTCAACGTGCACATGGTAAATTTCCATTTCAATGTCTCTTATTTGTGGCAGTACTGACACGAAAAAATGTATTTCAACTGGAGATTTTCATATGGTTGTCTCATTTTTTGAGTAATTGGTAGTTTTTGTCCTGCGGTTTTAGTTTCTGGACATACTTCAGAGAAAACTTTGGATTCGTTTGCTCTAGTTGGTGCTTCTTCTCCTGGCCTTATAGGCATAACCGTGGACAAATCAGTGGAGTTTTCATATGAAGAACTTGCTAAGGCGACTAGCAACTTCAACATTTCTAATAAGATTGGCCAAGGCGGATTTGGATCTGTTTACTACGCAGAACTTAGAGGCGAGGTTTGTGCTCTTGCTTCTACGTTCCATCCACAAAGTTTCTTATGAGCTTCATATTCAAATAATTATTTAGATACGAGGAAAAATTCTTGAACTACTGATCACTGAAGTTGTAACTATTAAGTGCTTGTCATCTGACCTGACACTAGTGCGCGAAATCGAGTGGCTGACTTTTTCTCCTGCTATCGAGCAGAAAGCAGCGATCAAAAGGATGGATATGCAAGCAACAAAAGAGTTCCTGGCTGAACTGAAAGTTTTAACACACGTTCATCACTTGAACCTGGTATTCTGCCTTCCCCATGACAGTATCATGATACCGAAAAATTGAATTTGTTTTATCTGAGGCCTTAATCCAACTTGGATTGAAGTGCTTTGATCAATATCATGCATAAATATTTTGTTTTTGTGCAGGTGCGGTTGATTGGATATTGTGTCGAGGACTCTTTATTTCTGGTCTACGAGTACATTGAGAATGGTAACTTGAGCCAACATTTGCGTGGCTCTTCAGGTGAGAAAGATAGATGATGCATCTGTCTGTAGAGCATCTAATTTCCATTCCTCTTTCTGATATCACAGCTTTTTTCTCTCAGGTCTAGATCCATTGCCGTGGTCAACAAGGATGCAAATAGCCTTGGATTCAGCTCGAGGACTCGAATACATCCATGAACATACAGTTCCAGTCTACATTCACCGTGACATCAAGTCCGCGAACATCTTAATAGACAAAAACTTTCGTGCTAAGGTTCTAAAAATGCCTTTACTGTTATGCAGGCTATGAAATTGTTCTATATGATGTATATGTAACATTAAATTTTCACGCAGGTTGCTGATTTCGGGCTCACAAAACTGTCTGAATATGGAAGTGCTTCATTGCAGACTCGTCTTGTAGGCACATTCGGATACATGGCTCCAGAGTACGCAATTATTCTCCATCTTTTATTTTTCACCATTTCGTTCATCGTTATTGGATGGCGCTTATTATGTCTCCGTCTCTGTCAATGTTTTGGACAAGATTACCTTTGTTCACTGATGTGAATATTAGCCCTATTTATCTTAATAATCTGAACGATACACAAGTAATTTGCACCTCGACATATACAAGAGATTCTCGCATTGAGATAATCTCACGTCTACTCAATTTTATTTTAACTTTTACCCTATTAAGTGACATGATTGATTATCTAGGTATGCTCAATACGGCGATCTTTCTCCAAAGATAGATGTTTACGCCTTTGGTGTCGTTCTTTTTGAACTAATATCTGCTAAAGAAGCTGTTGTCAGGACAAATGAATATGTTGCTGAATCAAAGGGACTGGTTGATTTGGTAGTTTTTTCCTCCTCTACTTTCCAGTAAGTAAAACCCCATATAAACGGTTTCCATAACTTGACTGACAAGAAAACGTACTTAATGTGATGCAGTTCGAAAATGTTAGTAATCGGTCTGATCCCAGAGAAGATCTTGGTAAACTTGTCGACCCCAGACTCGGCGATGATTGTCCTCTTGACTCAATCTGTAAGGTAAAATTCCATCCCTAAACCCTAAGATCCTAATCTATGACCAATCCTATTTCTCATAAGTAATGCAATGCTGGCTTTTCTGTTGCAGATGGCACAACTTGCCCAAGCTTGCACACAAGAAAACCCTCAACTGAGGCCGAGCATGAGATCGATTGTGGTTGCGTTGATGACACTTACATCGTCGAACGAGGACTGGGATGTCGGTTCAATTTATGACAATGAAGCTGATCTAGTCAATCTAATGTCAGGGAGGTAGTACATAGAACATCACGCTTGATAGACATGCCTAGACAAGGTGACTTCAGAAGAACAAAAGTCCTAATTCTTCTTCTTTCGGATTGCCAAGCATCTGCAGTATCTGTAAATAAGCATTCGCACCAGATGATTTCATCTCTTGTTTTGTATAATGGGGGTGCAATATTCAGACTCCTAGCTGCAGAATAACATCGAAAAACGGCATTGTATAGTACTTCATATAAATGTCAACATTTTGCTTCGACCCCATTGATCTTTAGCCCATCATGTTCGTTGTGTTTATGTTTCCGTTTGATAAAATTTCATGTTCGGCCATAATAACGTACTACTGGTGCTTCGTCCTTTCTTCGATCGGTTGCATACATCGTATGATATTAAAACAGGAAGGAAAATTCTTGAAGTATGAGACCGTACGAGGTTCTATCTGAAAAAGGCCTTAATGCAATTAGTAGTCGACCACCTACTTTTAGGCTGTGGGTTGATGTGGGGAACCGCACAAATCTCAAATTGTTTGACATTAATCTCAAACCGGGAGGTCCAGAAACTGCATAAGCTGCCATACATCCATAGCATGGCATGCCTCGTATGCATGTTTCCTACATGCTTTTCACTATTTTAACGCGTTATTTTTGTATACATGTCACATTATAATATGATTTACACACAAAGAAACGATTTATTCTACATAACGTGGCAAAACTGTTTAATGCGGCAACGGATATGCACAGAATCAAAATTCTAAGCTGGATAATATTGTACGCATGCTTTCTTGGACCGGCCAAAAGAAAACCTTACTTTCTTGTCAAAAAAGTCTCACAATGATTTACAATGCTCCATTTGTAATTTTGCCTTGTATAAAATGTCAAATGGATGACTAAATTAAGCAAAGCAAATGCAAGAATCGTATTCTATTAATATATATATATATATATATATATATATATATAATATTGAACCCAATGCTGTTGCCGACCATTCAGTCCAAAATTTGCAACTTTGGAATCAAATCAATTGATTATATATGGTGTTAAATTTAGTGTTAATTGACATGTTATTCTTCGGATGTCCGCCTTGAAAATTACATGGTCATCAATCTAATTAGCTCAATTTTTGTATCGTGAAAATTACGTGATCATTTTTTAAAATAAGGTTGTGTCGCCTAACATATGATCGCATATTTTTCACATGCTCATTTTAGACGTAAACTAAGAAAATTAACTAAAAAGACCACATGCTTCTTACAACTATAAGTTTTATACGAAACAATAAAATTTAACTAGAAAAAATGTTCCTCGTCTATTCAATTGAGATTTTGAATGACTTTAATGGATTTATAAATTCATGAATTTTGATGGAGTTTCATTGATTTGTAGAGATTCCGTATAAAATTTTGATTCGATTCCCTCAAATTTTCAAGGAAAGAGGTGAGATTTTGTGAATTCTTAAAATATACCACGAAACCTCTCTAGTCTCTTAAATTCCTAAACTTTTTAAAGTCTTTAAAATAAATTTCTAATTGAGTGCACCTTGAATGTTATAAATTTTTTTGAAATCATAATTGAATACACTCATATTTCTAAAAATTTTAACAAATTATCTTAAAATTTTTAATTAAATACATGTTGAATTTCAAAAACTCGCTTGAAATCCTAATTGAATATCTCTAAAATTATTAAAAAAAATAAAACCTCTCGAAATCTGAATTGAATACCCCCGCTGTAAAAGATGATTTTCAAACTATCGAGTTCAAATCTCTTGAGCATTATTGTTGATTACGTGTATTCCACTAAGAAACTTTAAAAATTTCCTACCCTACATGCAAAGAAAATATACATTTTCTCCCTCAAATAAGTAAGAAAATCACAAGCACAAGCTCCATTATCCTAAAGATATTGCTTTATGACATTTTAGACTAAGATCCAAAACCAAAACGTCATAATTATTGATATTTTAATATACCAACAAATAAAATCGTGCGTTACCACAAATATCATATCCTTTTAGATCTTTGGTGTGATTGTGACATTTTTTATTTTTTATTTCTCTGATTGTGACATTTTTGGGGCCCATGTAAAAAATAATTCCATTTGTCCACGTCCTGTAAATCTGTCACATACCAAGACCCACAACCATGTGAGAATATAGTTCCCGTTGCAGCCTGTCTTAATCTAATCGGCGAGTAGCAAACGCTCAATTCACACGCTCACGACGCATCATACTCCCTCCTAAAGTTTACCTTTCCAAGAACGGAAAGGATCATTTCCGAATCCTTTTTTTCATAGTTCAACAAATCAAAATATTCGTATCGTTGAAAATTGATCAAATGATTGAAAGTATTATAACTTTTAAAATGAATCCTTATTTGTAGTCATTGAATCAAATTTCAATGATACTGATTCTGTAATTTGATGGATTAGGAGGAACTAGAAGGGATCTGGAAAGGATACCTTTCCCCCAAAAACAAATCGTGGTCAACCACTTCTCCTTTTGTGTCTCTCATTCATCGCTAACCACTTCTCTTTTTGTTTCTTTTTGCTCATAAATTGAGCAACGCTAAAGAACTTTCCCAAAAATGAGATTCCCAATAGACTATTCGTCATCTTATATTTTTGACACAATTTACATTCCAATATTATAAAACATTGTACTAAAAACATGAGGTGACTGAGAGTCTGTGAAAAATCTCACTTTGAGAGAAGAGATTTTTCAGTGTGACCGATATACATGGTGGTACATCACGTGTCACTATACAAATGGTGGGATATGTGTGCTAAAAAGTTAATAACTTAAAAAATAAAATTTCTTACCACTCTTATTAAAACACGTGATGTACCACTTATATTTCCATTCCAACTAAAAATTTCCCATTTGAGAGAGTTTCTTTAGCATTTCTTAATATATATTTTATTATTTTCACTCAAAATAAAAATATGTAGTACAGAGTTTACATGAATTCTCTTGCACTCTCTATGTTTAGTCGTATTTCTCTTTCTAATATTGAAAAGAAACTTAATTGAGGTCTAAATCGAATCTTATCCTCTAAAAGTTCGAATTTACACATCATCCGATTGAAAAAGAGCAACAAATCTAAAAGTACAAAACTGAAACGTACAAAATTCACTCATACAACAAAGTCTGAATCACAACAATCAAACATGACCTTAAGCAATGCTTGTAAAATCCTGAACAACCAAAACGTTAAAATTAATTAACATGTAACTCTAGCTAAATTGGTAATACCAAAAGTGGCGTGGCCGTCAAACCAAATACATTTAGCTTGAGAAAGAAAAATATAGCATAGGACAGATACATAATACTGTGTTGCTAATAAGAAAAATTTTGAGATAATGATTAGGGTAAATTTTACATCGAATAAGATCAATTAATATTAATTTTTTTAAATAAACGATATTATCTACATTAAGAGGAAGAGTGTGTTTAGTCTCAATAAGCTAGAAATAATGTGATTTAAATTCATATTTAGTAAGAATCAAATCTAAGATCCTTTACTTATAAGTAAAAAAGAAGTCTGACATAAAATTAGTATGAAAATCTCATACCTCCGCGAAAGCGACAGATACCCGTAAATGGGCAACCCTACCTTACCCATACCAATCACTAATCTCCAACCTACTCAATTTTGGTGGGAGCTGAACAGCCCCAACCACTTCCCAATCCAATTGGCCCGTGCTCTCCACCCCCACCAAACCGCGCGTGAACCCGCCATCGCCATTGTACAGTCCAGACACTCACATAAAAGTAGCCGTTGGACATCCCCACTGTCGGCACACGCCTTGCCGACATCGAAGGGTAAGTACACGACGTTGTTTATCAAGACTAATTTTGACTAAATCCAGAAAACCATACGGTATAAATTAAAACTGACCCCAACCAAAACCCGCAAAAACCACCACCCTCCTCTCTCTCTCTCTCTCTCTCTCTCTCTCTCTGTAATTTGCACTTCCACGAAAACGACATCCCACTGTTTTATTGTAGTTTCTACTGTGCCCGGAGTGCGATTGCTGGAGTTTGATTCGCCACTTATTTGTTAATTCTCTCGGTGGCTGTGATTCAAAGTTGCAGACTTTGCACAGTGGAAGCACATTCACATTAGCGTGAGTTCTGGATTTCCTTGGAAGGAGAGAGAAAAAGAGGGAAAGAATGAAAGAATTATGCTTTCTTTGATTGGAATTTGAATCAATTCGATCACTTTCCCATTCAACTTCCGGATCCAAGAAAACCCTGGTTTGTTTTCTTTCCTTCTTTCATTATTTATTCAATTTTAGGGTGTTTTATCAGCCAAATTGTGAAGTTAAGTCTCAGTATTAGCCTTAAACCTGCTTAATTTTTATTAATTTTTTTTATAATTTGGGTTTTTATGCCTGTGTCTGTTAGTAATTGTATAGAATTTTCTGCAGCTATGTGAGATTGTAATTTTCTAAAAACAAGTACGGTGTAATTTCATAGTTCACATCGAATAATTATTTAATTAATTTGTTTCTAACTTGTTTGCAGTTGTTGTAAAACTTTAGAATTGATCACTTTTTCTGGAAAATATGGTAAACTGTTTTCCAATTGAAGGACTGCTGGTGTTTGATTCAGAGACTATATAACCCAAACAAAAGACGGAAGTTTGTTCATATAATATTGTAGCCTTTTATTGGTAAAAATGTTTTTGGTAGCATATGCATAGTTTTCAGAGTCGAATAAATCGTTACCATTTTGGCTGGATTGGATTGCTTTGCAATTTCATGGTCCAGTGGTTACAAGGTTGTGAGAAATTGTGTTCATGGTTTCCATTTCTCTGTGGTCATACTCGTTACAGGTTATTGCGTTGTTGGTTGTGGATAAATGGCTACGCTTGGAGATTTAGGGGTTGGAGCAGGCATCAATATTCTCAGCGCGCTCGTTTTCTTTTTAGTGTTTGCCTTTCTTAGGCTTCAACCCTTCAACGATAGGGTCTACTTTCCAAAATGGTATTTGAAGGGACTAAGGGAGAGTCCCACTCATTCTGGCGCGTTTGTGCGCAAGTTTGTCAATCTGGACTTCAGGTCGTACTTGAGGTTTCTCAATTGGATGCCCGCTGCGCTGAGGATGCCAGAACCAGAGCTTATTGATCATGCAGGATTGGATTCTGCAGTTTACTTGCGGATATACTTGATAGGGTATGCTTGTTTTTCTTGTTTTTTTTTTTTCTTTCATCATGTACTTACTTCGTAGGCTTTGCAGTGATTGTATACTAATTTTACGTTTCACTTGTCTTTCTTATATGATTCCTCGCTTTCCCATCACATAAACTTGTTCTGCTTTAACTAAGCACTCATGCCCAAATTTCCCCGTGTAAATATAATTTGTTAGCTGATGTTTATTGACCTATTCCTTTTTTTTCTTGCAGGCTTAAAATCTTTGTTCCTATAGTATTCCTTGCATGGGCCGTTTTGGTACCAGTCAACTATACGAATAGCACTTTGGAAATGGAAAAGTCAAATAATGTTACTTCAAGTGACATTGATAAGCTCTCGATATCAAACGTCCCAGATAAATCGCAAAGGTTGGAAATCCCCCTTATCCATCTTAAATTGTCATTTTTAGATGTGTATGATAATTAGAACTGTGCCATTTCTGTAAAACACTTGGTCCTTTTGGATATTTGGGCAACATAAACTCATCCTTTTTTTTTTTTTTTAATATTAAAATATAAGAGAAATAAAAACGTGACTGTATTTCACAGATTCTGGAGTCATATAGTGATGGCTTACATCTTTACCATTTGGACATGCTATGTGCTGCTGAAGGAGTATGAGAAAGTTACCAACATGAGGCTGCATTTTCTTGCAACAGAAAAACGCCGACCAGATCAGTTTACGGTGAGATTGATTGTGTGCTCGGTATACTTCAGATTATTGTACTTGCAAACATTTTCGGACTTAGTAATGTGGTACCTTCATATTTCAAACATTGGAGGTTATGTGGCGGCTTTGATTTCCTGTCTTGGAATAATTGATTGATACAGTGAACTTGGAATATTTGTAGTGATACAAAAGGAGTGGATAAAACAACTCTGTAACCCCGTGCTCGTGTACCAAACTAATTTCTTTGGTTTTTCGCAGGTCCTTGTCCGGAATGTTCCACCAGATGCAGACGAATCTACAAGTGAGCTTGTGGAGCACTTTTTTCTGGTCAATCATCCAGATCACTATCTTACACATCAGGTTTGTTTCTTAAATAAGAGAACATGCTCATGCAATATAAATTTAGCTTAGTGTTAATAATAGACTTCGAAGAGATATTTATTTGAAGAGGGAAATATGTTACATGCAGGTGGTATATGATGCCAACTCACTTGCGACATTGCTAAAGAAGAAGAAGAAGATGTCGAACTGGCTTGTCTACTTTCGAAATAAACTTTCTAGAAGTGAAACTGCAACAAGGCCCTTAACAAAGGTACTTAAAATGCGCTCGTGCTGAAGAACTAAAATGTTTCCAGTGTTTAGAGTTGCTTATTAATTTCTGATTTAACCCTTATATGTTACTATCAGACTGGTTGTCTTGGGCTTTGGGGAAAAAAGGTTGACGCAATTGAGTACTATGAAGCTGAGATTGACAAATTGACAAATCAAGTAAGTACAATTCCTTGAGTTCCTAGTTGAATCTCTATTTCCCCAGGATCTTGGTTCATTTGAATGCATTTTTCTTATTTTTTTTCTCAGATAGTTGAAGAAAAAGAGAGGGTCACTCATGATCCGAAGTCTATCATGCCAGCCGCCTTTGTTTCCTTTAAAACTCGATGGGGTGCCGCTGTTTGTGCACAAACTCAGCAATCCAGAAACCCAACTATTTGGTTAACGGAGTGGGCTCCTGAGCCACGTGATGTGTATTGGCCAAACCTGGCAGTTCCATATGTAAAACTCACAGTTAAGAGGCTTATTATGGGCGTTGCGTTCTTTTTTCTCACCTTCTTTTTCATGATTCCCATTGCAATTGTACAATCTTTTGCAAGCCTCGAGGGACTTGAGAAAGCTGCTCCATTCCTAAAGCCCATTGTAGAAGCGTGAGTTGTTTCATCCTCGAACTTTTTAGCCCAGTATCTAGCTTTCATTGTTCCTGATTACTAATATCATCCTGCTTTATATGCAGGAAATTCATTAAGTCAGTCATTGCAGGTTTTCTACCTGGAATTGCACTGAAGTTATTTCTAATTTTTCTACCAACCATATTGATGATGATGGCAAAATTTGAGGGCTATACATCTCTGTCTTCTCTTGAACGGAGAGCAGCATCTAGATACTATCTCTTCTCGCTGGTGAATGTATTCCTTGGGAGCATTATTACTGGAACTGCATTTGAACAGCTAGATTCTTTCATTCACCAATCAGCAACTGAGTACGTAATTCTTGCAGATAATTCTTTCTTTTTTATAATATGTTGTTCACCTTTTCTTATTTTGGCTATGTGATAAAGAAAGCTGTTTTAATATATTGCCTCAGATCATGAAAATTAAGTTTTTATTTTATTTTCGCAGCATTCCACAAACAATTGGTGTTGCTATCCCAATGAAAGCAACTTTCTTTATCACGTATATAATGGTTGATGGATGGGCCGGTATAGCTGCAGAGATTTTGATGTTGAAACCGCTGATAATATACCACTTGAAGAATTTCTTCCTGGTGAAGACTGACAAGGATAGGGAGGAGGCCATGGATCCAGGGAGTATTGGTTTCAACACTGGAGAGCCTCAAATTCAGTTATATTTCTTGCTCGGCCTTGTGTATGCTACGGTGACACCAACCTTACTTCCGTTCATAATCATTTTCTTTGGCCTCGCTTATGTTGTTTTCCGTCATCAGGTAAAAAGTCGGCATCAAATTATACTTCCGTTCTACTAATTATATCTTTTGTTGTAGGATATTTTTAACCTCCGTATTTTTTTTTTTTATGCTTCATATGCAGATCATAAATGTCTATAACCAGGAGTACGAGAGCGCTGCAGCATTCTGGCCTGATGTCCATGGTCGTATTATCACTGCATTGATTATCTCACAACTCCTTTTGTTTGGGCTGTTGAGTACAAAAAAAGCCGCTTCGTCAACGCCGTTTCTCATTGCACTTCCAGTACTGACCTTACGGTTCCGTAGTTATTGCAAAGGTCGTTTCGAACCTGCATTCACGACATACCCATTACAGGTATGTAGGGATTCCACTTGTTGCCTCTTTCTAATCTACTCATCAAAATTATCATCATCGTTTAATTCTTTGTTTTTCGGGGTTTAGGAAGCAATGATGAAAGATACGCTGGAACGTGCAAGAGAACCGAACTTGAATTTAAAAGGCTATCTTCAGAGTGCATACATTCATCCGGTTTTCCAGGAGTGTGACGAGGAGGAAGACCATGAATCGTTTGAAAGGATGAATCTGAGAGCGTGATTGTACCTACAAAACGGCAATCCCGGAGGAACACCCCAGTGCCTAGCAGAATGACGGGTGGATCCTCGCCGTCTTTGCTTGATGTTGAAGAACTTGCACGGCCTTGAATTCCAAGTTGGAAATGTAGATTTCAGCTGTAAATTTGACTGGTAGAGTGTCTGTATAAGTGGAAGATAATGGCGTTGTAAATCAAATGAGCTGACGACGATGCACGAGGAGGGCGGACAGAGAGAGTTCTGAGTTTTTGTTGCTCGTTGTGCAAAGGAAGAAGACGAACCAGAAGACGGAAGGACAATGTAATTGTGTAGTTTGTGAAATATTGATTTTTGAAATGGTTTGTATATTGACATATCTTAGTTGAAATATCATATAGTGGAAGTAAGCATTTTCTTTATATAACTTGTGATTCACCCCGGCAAATAAAACCCACAACTAAAACACGAATAAAACGGAAATGTTTTTGCTCACCACCCTCAACATTTGTTCAAAATTTCCACTCGTTCTTCAAGAAAAAAAAGGAATAGATGACCAAAAACCCCGCTTATAGGTCTCAACAATAGTTAGAGTAGAAGTTCTCATTCATCATTTCTTTCGTTTTACTTTAAAATTACGGTTGATCCGTCGGATTGAAATCCTCATTAGATTCAGCAACTAAGGATGAGATTACCGTAAACTTTTATATGGTGATATTCACCACCCTATTTATCACTGTTTGACGAGTTAAAATGGGTAGTGAGCATTACCACTATTTGAGATGGTGAGTAAAAATGCACCCATATTTTTGGATTTTTAATTGATAAAGCTAGGTTGTTGTATTTTTTATGAAAGATTTAACGATTAAAAATGCCAAAATATATAATACACTTAAAATATAAATGCAGTGTAAAATGTGCATGTAAAAAAACTTTTAAGGAGGGCAATTTCAAGGTACTTAAAAATTTAACCATAAAAAGTATAAGTCGCACTCAAGCTAACTAGACCAATGTGTTTTTTTTTTTTTTTTCACTATGCTTACGTAATCAATTCTTCTCTTTTTTTTTTTTTTTTTTTTTATATTAAATTGGAATATCATTTTCATAAAAAAATTATTAATTCATACAAGTGCGAAATCTCATGATTTCTACGTGCTATACCACTATAAAGTGGCCACGGATATGCTGTCCCCGACTAAGTTTTTGAGATGGAATTTGCAAGTTTTGATTTTTTATACAATTTTAATCAAATCTAAGCTGTGAGGATTCAAACACAAATTCAGATTCGATGACCTATTTGCTCTAATCAATATGAATACGATCACATTTACGATGGGGAGAAATGCCAAAGAGACTCTCTCAAAAGTCGGACTCTCTACCACATCATGTTTTTTTACAGCACTAGAATTAACGTTAAATTGTGAGGTTACAGAAAATTCATTTAAAAAAAAAAGCCTCCTTTAACATTTCTATAACGGGTAATTTTGACTTCACAAATCCAGATTTGGGCCAGATGATATGTACTAAATAAGGCCCAAACCACGCACACAGAAAGAGATGCATGAATTAAGTACGGTAGGTCAAACAACTTTCCAAATCCAAGGGGACAAATCCTGTTCCCTAGTCCTCCTCAAAGAAAACGCTCCCTATATATACCCCTTCCTCAAAGTTATCCACCTTCCGGACCCCCTTCCCTCTCTCTCTCTCTCTCTCTCTCTCTCTCTCGTTTCTCAGTTTTCGTTTCTCTGATCTCCTCCCTCGCAATCTCCATTCCCTTCGCCCCCGAAATTCCCAGAAATCGTTTTCGGACCCAGAATTCAGAAAATTCGATAGCTTCAAGAAATCGATCAACATGCAAGTGCAACAACGCCTCTGAAAAACCAAATTCCCAGCTGATTGTTTGGCTTTCTGGATTTTTCAGTAATTTTTAGGTCAGTCCCATTTGAATTCTTTCGTTTCTATCTGCCCTTTTATTCGAATTCTCGTTCTTTGCTGAAATTTTTGTTCTTTGTTTTATGAATTTTGGCGCTTAAAGCAGGGAAAAAAAGGGGAAATTTGGTTTTTTGGGTGGGACTGCATTGTATGATTTTATGGGGATGGGATTGGATTAAGGGTTTTTGGGTTTGGATTTATTAAGGGATTTTATGCATGAAGCCGGATTGTGGGTCGGTTGACTTAAGTCAACTGAGGTGTTTGTTTTGCATTGACTCAGAACAGTTTTAGAATTTGTCAAAACGGATTGGAATTTAATTCAAATACATTGTTGTATGCTTGGTATTAAATTTCAATCTGTTTGTTTTCATGGAAAATAAATTTTACAGTAATGATCACAGTCAACTGTGGCGTTTGTTCTGCACTGACTCAAAACAGAATGTAGAAATCTCAGAACGGATTGGAATTTGATTCAAATACAATGTTGTATGGATGGTTGGTTGGTATTCAATTCAATATGATTGTTTCGTCGAAGATCAAATCCCGCGAATGATGGCTGTTGTTTGATGTGTGCAATTGGCATTGTTTGTCCATAAAAAAAATTCAATCTTTATGATGCACATTTTGGTTTTTTCATTCTAAGAGAACACGAATGGATTATTTGAACTTGTAAGTGCTACTACGTTACTAGTTATCCTAAGATTCTGTCCTGTCCTATTGGAAGTGGGAATGGAAGTTTTGATAGTGGAACAAGGGCGGCTGGAGAGGTACAACAATAAAGGTACTAGGGTACATAAGAGAAGACGTTCCAATTTCCATCATCATGAAAAGGGAGGCGGCAAATCAGAAGAGGATGAAAAGCACAAGGAATTGTCATCACTGACAGGAACAGAGTCTAAGAAGAGACAGCTTACTCCAGAGAATGGAAAAAGGATTTCGAAAAAGCGACGCTCCTCAAAAGTGGTAGAGAGTTCTGAAGATGAGTTTGATGGGGAAATTCTGTTTCTTGTTAAGGCACAAGCGCGCAAAAGGGGAAGAGTTGATTGTGAAGTGATAGGAAGAAGTTCCTTAAAGGACGAAGCAGTAAAATATGAATCAAATAATGCAGCTTGCAATACGTCCTCTTCTTCACCACCGACTTCGCTGGGATCATTGCCAATATATATGAAGGTATTATTCATCTCCTCTACAGCTGTATTTTATTTTTTATCTAAGAAAATAAGGTTTGTCTGACCGAAAGATTTATGTTTCTTCTTAAAGCTGGATAATGAAGAAGTTTATTTGAAGTGTCATCAGTGTATGAAAGAGGAGACGAAAACCATTTTTTCCTGCTCCAAGTGTAAAACGAACTCCTATTGCATCCGCTGTATCAAGCAATGGTATATAATTTATACAGATGCGGTTACTTTTTAAATTTGAAAATTTTAGTTTGCGTTTATCATGATTTGTTTATGTTATTCATGCAGGTATCCTCACATGGAAGTAGAGGAAGTCAAGGAACTTTGCCCATTTTGCCGCCATAATTGCAACTGTAATGCATGCCTGCACTCAGCTGGTGTGATTAAGGTTTGTTTTCCTATTATTACTGAGTGTTTTTCTACAAATTGCTCCCTCTGTAGAAAATTATGCTAATATTCGGGTTTCTTCTTTATTTTCTTGGAACTGCAGATACCAGAGAGGGATGTCGATAAACGCAAAAAGGCTCAGCACCTGGAGCATTTAGTTTCCAACTTGCTTCCGTTTCTGAAGAAAATTTCTCAAGAACAAGCTCAGGAGATAGAGATTGAAGCTAATCTTCGAGGTAAAATATTTTTGGCATTGGCTTCAGTTTGTTTTGAACTTTAAGACACTTCTAACAAAAACTGACCTTCAGGACTTTCACCTTCCAAAGTTGAAGTACCACAGGCTCTCTGTTTTAATGATGAGCGTGTCTATTGGTAAGCATCTCTACTTTAGTTGAAGGGAATATTATATGATTTATTTTGTCACTGTCTAAATATTACTTTGTATGCTTGGAACAGCAACCACTGTGCAACTTCAATCATTGATCTACACCGAAGCTGCTCAAAATGTTCGTATGAACTTTGTCTAAGTTGTTGCCGAGAAATTCGCCAAGGAAGCCTTTTAGACCGTGGAGAAGTGAAATTTCAGTATAGGAGTAGGGGTTATGATTATATGCATGGTGGAGAACCAGTACCTGATTGTTGTCCCTTAGAAAATTCAGAGGACCATATTGAGCCTTTGATTGAGTGGAAGGTAAATGGTGATGCTACTGTTAGTTGTGCTCCGAAAGAAATGGGTGGCTGTGGTGAGTGCGTATTGGATCTCAAGCGCATCCTTCCGGGCTGCTGGATCTCAAATTTAGAAGTAAAAGCAAAATATTTATTAGAGATTTTCCAAAAAGAGCGTTCTACTTTCAAGCATGATTGTGAAACAGGAAGGGATATGTTACGAAAAGCAGCTTCTAGAGAAGGTTCTTGTGACAACTTCTTGTTTTACCCTGATTCAAAGGACACTATGAAAGAAGAAGAGCTTTTGCACTTTAGAGAACATTGGGTGAATGGTGAACCAGTTATTGTTAAAAATGTGCTCGAACAGGCAAATGGTTTGAGCTGGGAGCCAATGGTAATGTGGCGTGCTTTAAGTGAAAATAGAGATGCAGCTAGTACACAATATTCAGAAGTAAAGACCATCGATTGCCTGGCTGGTTGTGAGGTGTGGTTCTTTTACCACCAGTTATTACTCTAGGCGCTCTTTTAACTTCTAGCAAATCATAATTTTTTTGGGTGCTAGATCTATAAATTTGTTTCAAATCCACTTGTTTGGTTTGTAATAATGTCATGTGTTGGTTCAATATTTTTTTCCTATATTTTTACAGTCATTCATTTGGCACATTAGATTAGGTCACAGCTTTACTATTACAGCACCAATTTTGTTTTAAGAGTCCTCTCTCTCTCCCCCTTCTCACACTCTTTTGTCTGAAGTTTTTCATTCCTCTTCAATTTGTTTTTTCTGCCCATATTGCGCATCTATTGCTTATTTGTGAACTTCTGCAGGTGGAAATCAACACTTGTGAGTTTTTTAAAGGATACACTGAAGGGAGAATGTACAAAAACTGGTGGCCAGAGATGCTTAAGCTTAAGGATTGGCCGCCCTCTGATAAGTTCGAGGATCTTTTACCGCGTCATTGTGATGAATTTATCAGTGCCTTGCCATTTCGAGAGTACACAGATCCTAGAGCTGGTATCCTTAACCTTGCTGTTAAGTTGCCACCAGGTGTCTTGAAACCAGACATGGGTCCAAAAACATATATTGCTTATGGTTTTCTGGAAGAGCTTGGAAGAGGAGACTCCGTAACTAAGCTCCATTGTGATATGTCTGATGCGGTATGACTTCAAAACTTCGAACCTGCTCTATTTTTCACATAGTTCATTGAACAAATATTATGCATCCCAAATTTTTATAGCAGTTGACCTGACAAACTAGGTGTATTATTTTCACATGGTCTTTCAACTTCTGTAGGTGAATATTTTGACACATACCGCTGAAGTGAATTTAAGTAATGAGCAGCAGACTGCAATTTCTGGGTTGAAAAGGTTGCATAGGGTGCAAGATGAAAGAGAACTTATGGATTGGGAGAATTCTCACAAGGATCATGCTGGACAGTCTGGCGGAAGGACAGAGGACAGAGAAATCACAGAAAGCAATCGCCCGTCTGAAACTAATGGAGAATTGAAAGTTCGAAAAGATGAACTAGATGAGCTGTCTTGTTCTTCCTCTAATGAAGAAACCGAGGAAACAGGGTGGTGCTTTTTGGGACATCTTCCGCAGGGAGGACGTTCCTAAGTTAGAGGCTTATCTGATTAAGCATTATAAAGAATTTAGGCACACCTATTCTTCACTAGTTGAAAAGGTACTTATCCTTTCTTCAGTTTTTCTTTAGCCGAAATGTGCTCCAAGATTGCTGATGTGTTTTTTGGGTCAGGTCATTCATCCAATTCATGACCAATCTTTTTATTTAACGTTGGTGCACAAACAGAGGCTGAAGGAGGAATTTGGTATGTAAGAAGTCAAGGATCTGTTGATGGACCTTATACCTTTGGATTGTTAACTGACACGCTTGTTTCCCATTTAGGTGTCGAACCATGGACTTTTGTACAAAGACTCGGAGAGGCAGTATTTATTCCAGCCGGATGCCCACACCAAGTCAGGAATCTCAAGGTCCCATTTCTTTTCTTTTCTTCACGATTCCTCTTTCCAAATAGTTTCACTTGTATAACTCCGAATTAAAATGTTTTCCAACCTGCAGTCCTGCACGAAAGTAGCAGTAGACTTCGTATCTCCTGAAAATGTCCATGAGTGCCTCCGTTTAACTGAGGAGTTCAGACAACTTCCGAAGAACCACAGAGCCAGAGAAGACAAACTGGAGGTAAACCACTTAGTTTACCCCTAAGCGATGCTTTATTTCTTCTCCTGACTTATCTTTCTGGTGTAACAGATAAAGAAAATGATACTTTACGCAGTCGATCAAGCTGTTAAAGATTTGGAATCCTTAGTATCGATTCAAGAGTTGGAAGCCTTGGTATCAACTCGAGATTTGAAGGCTTTGGAATGAACTGAAGTTTGAGCATTTTGGAGCTAACCCAACCAACCTGTCAACTGTGCAGTAGAACTTTGTTATAATAATACTGATATTGGCTTCTGTTAATTATCTGCTGAGCACCATTTTTGTAAGTAGAAACAATTTTTTTGGATCGGAGTTCTCTTTGCACTCCAAATAAATTGAAGCCAATGATGTTTTTGTTACAAGCGATGTTACTACTCTGCATATTTAAAGCCCTTGATGAACCTGTGTCTTTGCTTCGATATAAAATTGCGGGAAAGACTCGGATCATGAGATCGGACCTTGTCACTCGTTCGATCTTTCACAAGGAACCGGAACTCCTGATTCAGTTTAGTTCGTCTTGCCCCACCTCAAAGGAAGAGATTTTAACCCTTTTGTGAGTAGTTGGGCGGGTAATGTGGTCCAACCGTCCGACTCCGACACAATGCCTTCTCCAAAATCTCTCTTGAAGCAACATCTAAAACATATATACATCTAATATATATATATATATATATAGTGTCATTTATGAAATGAAGACACTTACTTGAGCATCAAAGTGTTTTCTTGCAGATACCCGGCTGATATATTGTTGGCAAGCACAAATAATATTAAGCTTCTCAGTTATAGAGAGTTGCATCTTGGAATCACAAAAGCATGAATGTATAAACGAATAACGCATAAATCTGTTACGTATTGATACTAACAATACTAGGCAATGTTCACGTGCACACATGTTTACACTTAAAGCAACCTACCTGCAAAGTAGAGTTAAAACACTGAACATCATATAACATTATATTATTAGTTTGAGATACCGTCACAAATTAAAACTTTTAATGTCCGCAAGCAAACCATGTGGACAACCATACCTAAGAATCCCTCTACATAATACCGTCATGGTGTTGGTAAGTCAAGATCCAACTCTTTTGTATTTCTTAGATACCATTATATATTTACACTACATTGATAGATTTGAGCAAAACTATACAATGAGTCATCTATAATAAATTTATATCGAATTCATCATTTACAAAAGTCAGAAGAGAAAAATATCATTAAATCATATAAGAATTGACAACTAAGTCATGCTCATATAAATAAAGGGATGTGCTATCCATACACCCCATTTTACTTCTCACACATCCCTTGATAATTTCTATCAGTTGATATTCTTCAATTCATCCGATCCAACGACCGAAAATTAAAAAGGTATGTGAGAAGTAAAATAGGGTGTGTTGATATCACACACCTAAATAAAATAGAGAAGTGTTACTGGCTCTCCAAAAATCTCATTCTATAATAATTCCCATAAAATATTGTTGAGTAATAGAGAAAGAAACATAGTATTTGTTGAAATACCTAAACTTTGAAGCCAACGAGGGTTGATTGAGTTGGTAATGATCGTTCTTTTCCCAAGATCAAGGTCTAAGTTGAAGTTTAACTGCTAGCAATCCCTCTTAATGGGTGTGTATTTAAGAAATTAGATTCTCTTCCAATTCCCTTACTAGGGATCTCAGAGATTAATTAATAACAACCGTTTATCAAAGATCGTGCATTTACAATTTTTTTCTTTTTTATATTTTTCACACAAAACGAGGTTGCCTTACTTTTGAAAATATAAAAAGCATTCAATTGTGGCCACATGATCTTTGATGAACGGTTGATATTAATTGATTCCTCGGATCCCCAGTGAGAAGATGCGGAAAAGATCTAATTCACTTATAGGAAAAAAAAAATTCTTTTGTAAAAAATAAAATAAAATAATAAATCATAAACCAAAGAGAATTAATAATAGTAAACTATGAATAAAGATTAAAAGATTGTGCAGGTGAATTTGCTTCCTTCCTTACCCATAATTACTTGCGACCCAGGAATAGAAACCATGAAACTATCTTTCCAGGCTTTTGAAGATCTCATGCGCTCCATAACAAATTGATCATGTTTCAAGCAATCCTTGGACAAACGCTTTCTTAACGATCACTAGATGAATCAACCATATCTTGAAACTAGTTTCTTCATGAAAACACTAATTGTTGAAACTAATTTGCAGTCGTTGTGCCAACGCTTCTCTTAACCATCCACCATGAATCAATCGGATTTCAAATCAAATTCTTCTTGAAAACACCAATTGTTGAAACTGATTACAAATCAAAAGCTTGAGATTCCAATAGCCAAGAAAACCTAATCCTCCAAGAGAAACCTCTCTTCAAAGAATGACCAAAAGAAAGGTTAGGTTAAAAGTTGTTTTTATAGTGAGATTTATGCGGCATTAGGGTTTCTTAATGCTAATGGGAATTAACGAAATTGCCCTTGCTTTAGAATCCAATATTGGAAGTTGCATGAATCGTGGCTATTTATTAGGATTGATCATTACGTATCAATTTAGGATTCAAAAAGTCTATGCAAATCTTAAGACCCCTACGCGACAAACACATTCTCAACTTTTTGTATCAATTTATAAAGAATTTGTGCTTTGAACATTGGATATTCTGGGCTTTGACGGTTAAATTCTTTTATTTTTTGGATTTTAAATAAAAATTGTTAAAACACTAAGGGTCTGTTTGATATTATATTTGAATTTTTTTATTATTTATTAAAACATTTATTGAAAACAATTTTCTTTAAAATAAAAAACTTGATTGATTTGATATTTAAAATTTTTAAATCTTACGACTTAAACTAGACAAAAAATCTAAAAAGAGGGGGTCGCATGAGAGGTAGAAAGAAGAGAGGATCATATGAGATAGAGAGTAAGAGGAGTGAGAGAAATAACTGAGATAATGAAGATAGCGGATTTGAGGAGAGATGAAAAATGTAAAAAAAAAAAAAAAAAAGAGGAGAGAGAAAGAAGAAAAGGAGAGAGAGAGATGGAGTGAGAGGGGAGGAGGGAGAGAAAAAAAAAGAAGTAAGTTTAAGTTTAAAAGTTCTAAAAACTCACTTTTTATGTTTTTAGATAATAGACTATATTTTTTAGTTAGTCTTGAGTTTAGTTTTTGAAAATAGTCCTAGTAAATAGATTTTTAAGTCTAAAACTTAAAAATTGTTTTTAAGTTTAAAAATTAGGATTCAAATAAAGTACCAAACCGGTCCTAAATATCTCATACTTCTAACCATGAAAAATCTCCAATTTATATTACATAATAAGGATGGATCGAAAAATACATACTTTTTGATCCAATGATTCTCATATTTCAGGTAGACGTGAATAACCCATGCTTCAAATGATTCTCATATTTTAGATAAACGCAAGATAAAGTTAGATAATTCTCATATTTAGGTAAATGCGAGTAAACTAAAAGTAAAAATGATTTTAATTCTCATTTCTTATAGGTAAACTCTTGTTTATTTCTTATACGACTCATTAACTCCATCACGATACGGAAATAATAAGTTTGGGTCAACACGTTAATGAGTTGAGTCTTTATTAGATCACTGTTAAGAATATTATAAGATATCGTTTGCCAAATCAAGACATTAAGAATGACAAACACGATCTGTTTGTCGGGTTTACGTAAAAACACCGCTGGTGAAAAACAAAACAAGCCACATGTACGAAACCCAAGTGGGCCTGGGCTAATTTTCAGCCCAAACCCAACACACCAAAACGAGCGCCAAATAACGGTCATACAGCACGTTATCTCATCCACTATTCCCAGCCAGTCTCATTCTTCCTCTTCTTCTTGAGCTCAATGCGAAATGAGTTTTCTGCTCACGCGATACTCCGTCTCCGATCCCAACCGCCTCCACCGACCCCCGTACGCTTCGGCTCTATTCCGTTTCCCTCGCATTCGCTCACCCAATCCAAGAAACTCAGGAAAAGCAGCTTTTCTCTGAAGTTATACAATAACAGCCCCAAACGCCGCGTTTTTGGCAGATCTAGCAGCGTAATCAGAAGCTCGGTGGCCAAGGAAGCCAATGGCGCGGCGGAGCATAAGCCGAAGCAGCAACCGGCGGTGAAGAGGCCTTACCCCTTCCACGAAATTGAGCTCAAATGGCAGCGTTATTGGGAGGAAAATCGGACTTTTCGAACCCCTGAAGAAATTGATACCTCCAAGCCCAAATACTATGTTCTTGATATGTTCCCTTATCCCAGGTCTCTCGATTTTTCACAAAACTCTATTTTTTTATTTAAATTTCAAATGCAAGTGATTGTTTATGTAGAAAATGTGAACACCCAGATTTAGTAAGAAAATGATTGTTTGAGCACTTGGGTTAAATGAAAAACTTAAACTTTCATAATTCATATGCCTTGTGGAAATTGCAGTTGTTTCGAAATTTGGGATAATATGCCATTTCATGTGTGTAAGATTGGTTAATTGCTTTTGAACTGTAAAATTTTCCGTCTTTCGGGTTAACTGAAAGTCTAAAACTTTTGCTCATTTGGATGGTTTATTGCAGCGGAGCTCGATTACATGTTGGCCATCCACTTGGATATACCGCTACGTACATTCTTGCTAGGCTCAAACGTATGCAGGGTTACACTGTGTTACACCCAATGGGATGGGATGCATTTGGATTGCCCGCTGAGCAATATGCAATAGAGGTTCGTTTTTCAGCACTTCTGTGTGGCTCGTAACTATTTGAATATTGCCACGGGTTTGAACGATTAGTTATTAATTTGGTTGGTTGTAAGTGTCTGACAGACAGGAACCCACCCGAAGATCACTACCTTGAAGAACATTGATCGCTTTCGCTCCCAGGTCATGTGATGTTCATTCTATTGCTGGATGTGTGACGAGTCAGTAAATGAATAAACTTGGCAAACTGTGACTTGAGATAAACTACAGAATACTATATACCTGCATCGGGCCCTGTACATTTCTTCTTTCTTCAAGTGTTGTAAATGCTTGCCAACGTTAGGCATGGTAGGCTAGCATTAAAAGTGGAAGCCGCTTCCCACATTTGATCATAGATTGTTGCTCTCTTGGTTTTGGTGGATTGTATTATCCGTTCGCTACATATTGACATTTCGTATTTGCATGCAGCTTAAATCATTAGGATTCTCATATGACTAGGATCGTGAAATTTCTACAACATAACCAGAATATTATAGATGGACCCAATGGATCTTTCTTCAGCTATTAAAGAGAGGATTGGCGTATCAGGTATAAATGAGATATTGGTAGTAGATAGTTTCTATCATTTTCTCCATTACACAGATTTAATACTTTACTTTGTTACATTCAGGCTGAAGTGCACACAATTGGTGCCCTGCTCTTGGTACTGTCTTGGCAAATGAAGAGGTTATAGATGGTTTGCGTGAGTGTGGGGGTCATCCAGTAATAAGAAAGGTAGATACTGGCTTGATGCATTTTCATTTTACACACCATCTAAGATGGCAAAAAAAAATATTGGCTTATTTCGAATTTTTGGATGGTTTTATAATTTTACAATGTCATTGTTTACTACCGAGCAGCCAATGAAGCAATGGATGCTCAAGATAACTGCATATGCTGATCGTCTTCTAGAAGATTTAGATGACCTCGACTGGCCTGAAAGCATAAAAGAAATGCAAAGAAACTGGATAGGGAGGTCAGAAGGTGCCGAGATGGAATTTCCTATTCTTAGCAGTGATGGACAAGAAAGAGACACAAAGATTACAATCTATACGACTAGGCCTGACACCATATTTGGAGCAACGTAATAATCATACACCAAATTCCTATCTTGATAACTTATATATAGTAGATGGACTTGTACAGAAAACCTTTGACGTAGACGTGTCTAATCTATATTTATCTTTTGGCTCCAGCTATTTAGTCGTGGCACCAGAGCATCCCTTGTTGTCAGTGGTAGTATCAACAACCCAGAGAGAAACTGTACGTTCAATTGTTTCTTGCCCAGTTTTCTCAAAGGTTTCTTATGATGGCTAATTAGAGGGCCAACAATATTGAGCACAGGTGGAGGAGTATATAGATATTGCCTCAAGAAAGAGTGACCTTGAGAGGACTGACCTTCAGAAGGAGAAAACCAGGGTCTTCAGTGGTTGCTACACTAAAAATCCAGTTCATGGGGAAGCTATCCCTATATGGGTTGCAGACTGTCTTGGGGAGGTGTGTTTGGCTTTATGTTCTTTCCTTCATTTATATTTGCCACTAGAAATGTTGAAATTCATTTTAGGTTTGAGATGTTATAACATTTTTACCATGTTCAGGTACAATTTGAGATTTATGGACCTAAAAAATTCAGAAGAATTGGTAGCAAAGACAAAAGAAATGTAAGTGAAATCTTTCTTTGGGAATTCTTCATATAAAATTCTACTTTCTTTGCAAATAAAAAACTCAAAAGGTAATGATTAAATTTGTAGTATCATGTGAGGTCCTCCTTTTCTTTTTGTCATTTTAAAAATCCTCTTGATCTGCAGTTACTGGAACCAAGTTGATGTGTATGTTGGTGATGCAGAACATGCTGTCCTTCATTTACTTTATTCAAGGTTCTGGCACAAGGTCTGTGACTTAATCTGTCTTCTTCATTTTGGAACATGCACGTGCACAAGATTGACCAATATGAAATTGTATCTCCTGAAGTAAGGATTATGAAGCTCAGGAGCAAGAGTAACTGTAGTTGCGGGCCGTAACTGCGGGCAGTTCGAGTTCTAGTTCTTTACAAGACAGATGGGAACTGTAGGTTTGTACAAAAGTTGTATCTGTAATTACAGCTGACATGGTCATTAATACTTAATACCGTTTTTCAAGTCTTGTCTCGTATCAAATGTTAATGTCACGTAATATTATTTCAGGTTCTTTATGACATTGGCGCCATGTCCACCAAAGAACCGTTCAACTGTGTCATAAACCAGGGCATTATTCTTGGCGAGGTAAGTAGAGTTGTTTCTGCTCACATGAGTAATTTTTTCCCATACATGTTTCTAATGCTTTGCTTTGCAGGTTCAATATATTACTTACATGTTTCTGATGGGAATTTTATCCCTGCAGGACTCTGGAACAACAGTCGAACATCAGCAAGAAATAATACCAGAGGAAAAGGTACTTTTCTCGGATGCCTCAGTATAGTTTTTCTTCTAGACTGACTCTGTTTTAAAAGGAGTTAAGTAAGAAAAATAACCTTTAGTTTGGCATTTCATATTCCATTCCTCTTGACATAATTTTTCCTTCCGTAGGTCATGAAGTCTGGGGATTCTTTTGTACTGAAAGACGATCCTAACATTTGTCTGATTGCGCATTCTATAAAATGAGTAAAAGCAGGGAAATGTAGTCAATCCGGATGATGTTGTTTCTGAGTACGGGGCAGATTCGCTTCGTTTATATGAAATGTTCATGGGACCACTTAGGTAGTTTTTTTGTTGAAGTTTATCTTATTGGATACTTGGTTTGGCCTATGTTTTCGCTAATGTGCCTAGGAATGTCTATGGCCTATCTCAAGTATAAGATAATATCTACAAAGATAAACTTTAATCTTGATTAATCTTTCTTGTTACTGAATTTCGCTTCTAGAGACTCAAAAACCTGGAATACGAGTGGTATTGAAGGTGTCCATCGATTTTTGGGAAGAACATGGAGGCTAGTTGTTGGTTCACCGTTGTTTGATGGTACATTCAAAGATGGGACGGTAGTGACTGATGAGGATCCTACTTTGGAGCAACTTCGTTCTCTCCACAAGTGCATTGCAAAGGTCAGATCTCAATTTCTGGATGTTATCTTCTATTTCTTTTTACTATTATACTCAAATTATGATACAACAGCTGTGCAAAAATCTGAAGTCTGCACCTCTTAACCAATGAATTTTCCTAATTGCAGGTTACTGAGGAAATAGAAGCAACAAGATTCAACACTGGAATATCTGCCATGATGGAGTTCTTAATGCGGCTTATAAGGTCCTTGAAACTATTTAAACGATACATGTTCCATCTCGTTGAGACAGTTAAACATGACACATTACTGAATAATTTTTATTTTTCAGTGGCAAAAACATCCAAGTTGGTTATTGAAGCATTTGTTTTGTCGCTCTCGCCATATGCACCTCATATGGCTGAGGAGCTTTGGTTTCGCTTGGGACACTCCGAATCTTTGGCATATGAGCCTTTCCGAAGGTGAGATTACACATGAAATATGGTGTAGGATGTAATACTGCACGAGGAATGTCGAATGGTATACAGATGACTAGTTGATTACTTCGTGTGTTCTAATAAATGCGGGCGGATCCTGCTTACTTGAAGGAATCTACTATTGTCCTCCCAGTTCAGATCAATGGCAAGACGAGGGGTACGATCCAGGTTGAAGAGACCTGTTCGGAGGAGGATGCCCTCGAGCTTGCATCACAAGATGAAAAACTCTCCAAATACCAGGAGGGGAAGTCAATTAAAAAGAGAATTTTTGTTCCTAGCAAGATCTTGAATGTTATTCTGGACCGCGGAAACGTCAAGGCGGCTGGCCGAGGATCCCTTCAGTCCCATGCCGGCATTGGTGATTGAGTCAGACGACTGCATGAAGAAACAGCCCCGACGTTATGTGCTTTGCATTTGATTGCATATGCCTTCCCGTTTCGGACGCCTAGAAATCTAGAATTTGGTCTAGGTTTTGGGAAGAAGGAAAGCACAGCTAATTATGTTAAATGACCCTGGCTTGCCGGCATAGGGCCCCTCACATTCGAGGGCCCTAAAGCAAAACAACATGTAAGTAGGCGGAGTTATTAACTTTCTCTATTTATAAAAATAATAATGCGAATAATAGAGTAACGATTCATAGAATGCATTCAAAAGTCCAGTATCATATCCAAGGTTTTACTAGACGCTAGGTGCAAGTCAGGCGACAGATTGAGGTCTAACGTCTAGACGGCTAGACTGGATTGAAGTAAATTTATTCTATATTATATATGTGAAAATACATAATTTTATTATGATACATAAATTGTAGAATAGAATAATATATAGATTATAAGGTATTAGAACATAATGAAAACGTGGGAACACGCATATAATGTGTATTCATCAACAAGTCTCTTATAATTTGTTAAAAAAAATAAAATGCAAAATGAAAGTTACTTATTTTCTGTTAAGTGAGAGTCACGACCTAGGCAGGTGACTCAGCATGTTTGGACAGGGTTAGGCGGGCGTCTAAGCAGATCTATGCGCCATTTCTTAATTTTCAAAAGCACAAATTAATTAGGACGATGATCAACTGCATAACATTTAAGCAGGACTTAAACATCATTATGTGAGAATTTTTAGAATAGTGATTAGGAGACAAATATTCTCAATTGGTAATTCAAATGGTGAACAACCGACAAGCTTTTGAGTTTTGACTCATGATTTCTTGCCCTTCTGATTGATACGTTGTGACTAAAAATCTATTAAGGACAATGTGGGTGCAACAAGTACTACTAAAGCAATGTTCAATCTAAAGCAATGCGTTTCAACGTGTTTGAAGATGATATATGCACTTTTCTTATTCTCTGTTTTATATTTATACATGTTACGTCGTTTTTAATCACTTGAATTATAAATTTTTGTAAAACAGAATGAGGTTGTGAAACAATAATGCGACTAATAGCAATCTCATGTAGGATACAAGGGGTGCCACTGTTTCGAATTGGTAATCAATTTTTGAACTCAAATCAAATCATATAAACTTAACTCGCTCACAAAAAACTGAGATTCTTATATTCGAGTTTGTCTAAGATGACATCTAAACAGAATTGACTCATTTCATTGTGAGTGAGTTAGACAATCTACTTGATCTGACTGACGAACACAAGAATCTGTTTTTATGAGGTTAGTTGAACATGCCACCTAATTTAGTCGGTCAGTCAGACAATAAAATTACTCCCTTTTTGAATACTTTCATGGCGTACGCTGAAAACCTGCTTTAGCTTTACGACCAAAAGTGGCAACGCGGTGCCGTTTAACCAAAGAAGAAGAATCCAAGCGCACCTGTCCCTTCCCATGTGGGACCCACCCTCTCACGAGTCGTACGGCCATGATCACGGCGCGGAAATCACAGACTCCACACTTGTCATCATTCTCCACACAGACAAACTGACAGGGTGAGTCCACTTTCTCGAAATTTTTTTAATTATGACGAGAATAAAAACAGTACATTACGTGTTTTAATAAAAATAGCTAAAAATTTTGTTTTTTAATTTATTTAATATTTTAACACATATATTTTATTATTTATATAATAACACGTAATGTAAAACCGTATATAGCTCACACTGAAAAATCTCCCCACTTCTCCCTATTTCCCACCGAAGCCCCACATAAAACTCCAAAATTCACACACCCAGCAGCGCACCCGGCACACCCCCCCTCCTCTCTCCTCCTCTTCCTACTATTTGAAAATTCAAATGCTCCTCCGAATTCAACCCTTCAATGTACTCTCTCTCTCTCTCTCTCTCTCTCTCCCACCCTCCCTCCCTCCCTCCTTTTGATTTTCAATTGAGCTCGTAATTTCTGTTAATTTTGATATATTTCATGTATTTTTCAATTAATTGAAGGAAGGACGATGACGACGATGAAGAAGTCACCGCCAATCCAGGCGCGCCACGTCATCAGGTTGAGCTGGAAGCTGGTGATCGTCCTCTCTGTCGCAGCTTTGCGTATGGGCCTTGTTCCGGCTCCACTCGCAGCCCGACCTCTTCTCCTCCTCTCCGTCTTCGTTGGTCGTAGCGAGATCTCGAATTTCCCGCCACGGCAAAAGCTTCACCGGCACTCCGAAGATCGCGTTCCTTTTCCTCGCCCGCCGTAGCCTCCCGCTCGATTTTCTCTGGGGCAGCTTCTTCGAGGTTTAATCTCTTTACTTTTGTACAATTTGTTTGGTTTTTCCGTCTCAGTTTTCTTGGACTTTCTCGGGAAAGTCATCGAGAGTTGTGTGTGAATTTCGCAGAATGCTGAAGCGCCGAATTTTTCGATTTACATTCACTCGGCGCCTGGTTTTGTGTTCGATGAGTCGACGACGCGGTCTCATTTCTTTTACGGCCGTCAATTGACGAATAGCATACAGGTAGTTGCTCGTTTAGCTTCTGTTTGGTTGCTGAGAAAATGAAACGGAAAAAGTATTAATTTTGAAGTTCGTTCTGTCAGTTTTTTTTTTTTAAATAAAAATTGCAAAAAGTTCGAAACTTAGTTCGAAGGAATACTGCTCAAATATTTTCAAAATGATCCAAATTTAGTTCGAAGGAATTATTTGCTTCGATATCAGGTTTTTGCAATGTAGTATGGTTGCCTACTTATGCTGAATCCGAACTGGTGGTCACACAATGCAGGTGGGTTGGGGAGAATCGAGTATGATCGAAGCGGAGAGGCTGTTGTTCGCAACAGCTCTTGAGGATCCCGCGAATCAAAGATTTGTACTCCTTTCTGATAGGTTAATATTCTTGGCGTAATTGTATGACCGTTTTTCCATTTGCAGAAGAGGAGTTTTATGTGGTGCACTACCTATCTAACTTACTTGCACCGCAGTTGTGTTCCTCTGTACAACTTCAGCTATGTATACAGTTACATGATGGCTTCTTGCAGGAGTTTTGTGGACAGGTAGATGCAGGGCTTTCACTTTTGAGGTGCTAAGCACTGATATGTTGTTCATGGTTAAATATCTGTTAGCAAAGTTTCACATGTAATTTCAAGTTCTGAGTTCAGAAATCTTAAGTGTCTTATGCAGTCTGTTTATGTTGTAGCTTTCTTGACGTAAAGGAGGGCCGCTACAATCCTAAAATGTCACCTTACATACCAAAAGAAAAATGGCGAAAAGGATCCCAGGTCATTATCTGTTTTAAACTTTCATATGAAAATGGCAAAAAGTACCTCTTTTTGGGATTCAGAGTCCTTTGTTAAGTCAAGTCAGTCGTCTTCAACAGTGCTTCACTTGTTTAGCTATTATCGTAATCATCATCATGATTATGAGTATTGCTCTGTCTGTGGTTAGTAGGGATTCTCATTTATAGTATTATGTGACATGCATTCATGACTATGCTCTAATTTGAATTGGATGGGCAATTTCAGTGGATTGCTTTGGTACGAAGCCATGCAGAAGTCCTTGTGGACGACGATGTTGTTCTTCCAGTGTTCAAAAGTTTTTGCAAGGTACGCAATCAAGCAGTTTTATCTTCTTGTTTTCTTTATGTTCTGTTATGAAGCTTTGTCTCAAATTATGATCATTCTTATCAAATTTCAAAATTTGTCTCTTACTTTGTTTATATCAACAAAGAAAACACTTCATTGCTTCTTACTTTGCAGCGTCGCCCGCCTGTGGATGTCAGAAAGGGGAAGCTGAATCTTGTAAGTGTGATAGGTTCAGACATATCCTAAAATCGTGTAGTTTTCTCTTTCAAGTGACTGATCATAGATTTTGATATTGGACTTAAATACCAAATGCAGAAACTTCAGAAGCAGCACAACTGTATCCCAGATGAACACTACGTGCAGACACTGTTTGCGGTAAGCTATAGATGTTCTTGTTCTTTCTTTTCTATCTTTGCTAAATGTCTTACGGTATCAAGGTTTCTGTTTCTCTGTTTGTTAAAATGGCTTTCTATGAATTAGTTTAGCTGTCACTAGTTCGAGAGTTTCTAAGCGTGATCGAGTTACCTTTTTTTATGCATTAATTTGCTAGATGAGTGAGCTTGAAGGCGAACTTGAGCGAAGGACATTAACCTATTCGTTGTGGAACAATTCTGCTGCAACTAAAACCGAGAGTAAAGGCTGGCATCCTATGACTTTCAACCATGCGAATGCGGCTCCTAAAAAAATAAAAGAAATAAAGGTAACATTATGATTATTTTCTTCATTTGTTTTCCATTCTGGTTTCGTCGTTCTGACCTTTTTCTTTTCCGGCAGGATATCAACCACGTATACTATGAGACAGAATACCGGACAGAATGGTGTCGTGTCAATTCAAAATACGTTCCTTGTTTCTTATTCGCAAGGAAATTCTCCCCGGGAGCTGCCATGCGCCTTCTTAGCGGGGGAGTAGTCGGTCAATTTGATACCTCTGCACTATTAAATCCGCCACCATGATCTTATACTTGCGAGTTCTTACCGATGCTCACTGACTGTTAGCTTACACAAAAACTATAATCTGGGCAAAGTAGAAAGCCCACTAGAGGTTTACAGATACCATACTCACCCACACGACAGATTTCGATACCAAGTGCAGTAGAAAGGTTGGTTGATGCGGCTGATCATCTTTGTTCGAAGATGATGAGTTTACTCTTGTAAGAGAGATGATAGGAATTGGATATCTTCGAGTGTATCCGGTTAAATTTTCGTTCTGTAAGCTCCAGCGGAATTGAATGTCGTGGATTTCTGTTGTGACCCATAAAGAATGTAGTTAACGAGTTCCGAAATTAATCATTCAACTCTCGTTAACATTTTCAATGTCGATACGATATCATCAAATTGAGGATTTGTATTGTGATCTGTAAAGAACGTTGTGATCCTCCCGTGCAACTCAATAGAACTCCAGCCCGGGAGTTTCTTCAAGTCGAGAGACCTCATTTGTCTCCACGCCTTGCCCACGCAATCCCATCTGTTCATCAAGGCGCAGCTATGTGCCAATTGCGCGTAGTATCCGGCATCCCCAGGTCTCAGCATCAAAATTTCTTCAAGCTTAGAGACCTCATTTTGCACAAGCCCTGACATCATGGCCGTCCACAGAACCACATCCTTGTTCGTCGTCCCTTCGAAGATATGAAATGCAAGGTCAATGTTCCTGCACTTTATATAACCATGAGCGCTGTTTCGACATGGGAATCCAATTCATATCCAGTTCTTAAAATCTGTCCGTGCGTAGACTTTCCCAATTTCAAATTACTCTGCGTGGCAGCCACGGACACAGCGGATGCATAAGTCTGTTTATCAGGCACCATTTCTTCAACTCTCATCGTATACAAAAGCCGGAATGCTTCTCCGACATTTCCAGCCTGAGAATAGCTTGAAATCAAGGAATTCCATGAAACTATGTCGTTTGCATTCATATACTCAAACAAGTCTCTAGCATCTTCAAGTCTTCCACATTTACCATACGCATTCAACATTGAATTCACCAAAGTAATGTCAGACTCAAAACCATATAATACTGCACAACCATGCAAACACTGCAAATAAGCCAGCTCTGAAACTCCAGAGATCAAGCTTACCAGAGTAACTGAACTGGGCTGAACTTCTTCGCGCCGCATCTCACAAAGCATCTCAAACGCAATTCCAACATTTCCGGCACGCGAATAGCATCCGATAATGGAAGTCCAAGGAACAACATTTCTGCGGGGCATTACGTCGAAAACCTTGCGTGCATTTTGGGCGTGTCCAAATTTGGCGTAAAAGTTGATCAGAGAAGAAGTAACGTAGGCATCCAACGAGAACCCATTAACGACGATGCATTGGTGGAACGAGAGGCCATACAGAAAGAGGTTTAAGGAGGTGCAAGCTTTGAGAAGATTAGGGAAGGTGTAGGTATCCGGAAGTGTGTTGGTTTTGGGCATGGAAGGACTTCATGGTGAGAGCCTTGGGATGAGAGGCGGTTGATGACGGCGTTGAAAGTTTTGGTGGTGGCAGTTGCGGTGGCGGTTTCAGGTGGTTTAAGAAAGAGCTGTTCAGCTTGTTCATAACTCATGCTACCGATTACTGAGTTGTTAAAGAGGCTGGGTAGGCAACAACAAGATTACATACAACTGTGGTTTATAGTATAAACACACACAACACAAGTATAAATAGAACAACGCGAACAGATTCATTGCCATTTTCCACCAAATTCAGAAAGAACGTCGGTATACAACAGAATTTATAATATGAACGTTTCTGATCATAAACAAGTTCTAAAGAAACAGAGTTTTGCATGTCCAGCCTTCAAATGGCATTGAACTCTCACTACAATTTTCCAAAATCATAGCACAAAATTACAAGAACATGAATCAAATTAGTCCAGCTAATTTCATTGTTTCTTTGGATATTCTCTCGGCCCAAATATTGTCGATCCAATTCTCACGTTTGTGCTGCCCATTTCGATCTGCAAAACCATCAAGTTTTTCCATTTGGTGAGAGAATTTCACTGGCGTGTAGTCAAAACATATTACGAAAGCTTAGTCCTTACAGCTAGCTCAAAATCCGAAGACATGCCCATTGAAAGCTCACATTGCTCCTCTGATATTCTGAGTGCCTTGCAAACCTCAGTTCTGCAGTTCGCCAAAGTCTGACAACAAACAGTTTGATTTGAGAATTGCCAATAAACCCGAGGAACTGAAACTTTGGAGAAAGATTTACATGTAGTGTGTTGGAGCATCACCTTAAAGTTTTCCGGTGTAGAAGTATAATCTAGCATCCCAATTGTCATTAGACCACAAAACTCAAGGTTTGGACAACCCGAAGTTACATGCTTTGCGAGCTCCACACATCCAGAGGGCTCAACACCAAATTTTGCTATAATAGTATTTTAAGGAGATCAGTATTATCTCAAAACAATAAAGAACAAATGACTAACATACGGAAGGCATGGATTATCGGCAAACATTTGATAATGAATAAAACGAATACAAAAAGTACGACAGATAACCATGCAAGCATAAACCGCAAAACTCCGCAAGCATGCATCTCCCACTATATCTCAGAAAAGGGTTGGCTCATATCTACTTAACTAAACTTACATTCTTCTCCACTGGTGTTCACTTGGAGTAAGACCTTCAAAGGCTTTCTCCCGATGCTACCAACCACGTGATCAAGACGATTAGCAATCTGCACAACATACAAGGTGGAGTAAACTTAAAACCAACCAAGCGGCAAACTGCTGAACATGATTATCGCTAAGAAAAACACGAGCTTCCCCAATTACGGACAATTAACAATGGCAGCTACACTTGAATTGCCCCAACCATTATTAACTAAAGGTAATATAATACAACACAGAACGAACGACAAAAAAAAAAGGGTACAATCTTTACCAGAATCCCCTAACTAATACAAAATGCCATTGAATTTCTCGAGATCCATCACCCGAAACTGAAAAGTAAGTTTGCATACAACGCACAGAAACGATGATAGCAGAGTAAGTATCTACCTTCTCATCGTCCACACTCTCTACCGTTACAAGGTTTGGTACTCCAGCTGCACAATTTACATAAAAATCAAACCAAACTGCTGATTGCTTTTGTACAACAAACGGATTACCCAAAAAAGGCTTAAGGGTATGAAATTCAAGCAAATTGACAACAACCATGATTGGAGAAAGAGAAAATAATCATACTTAGAAGGGGTTTTACTTTATTGCTCTGCAAATTCCCAATGAAATGCCACTCAATGTCCTCCGGAAGCTGCACCGCGCAGACGATCACCAAAAATTCAATCTCTTTCAGTACAAATAGGTTGCCCAAAGCTCTTTAGAGAGAGCGAGGCAGAAGTTTTATACCTGAGGAGCTTTCTCGACGATTTCTTGGACGTAGTTTTCGCCGAAACAGCGATGGCCGGCGTCGTACACTTGGCGGAGAAGGGAGACTGGTTTCGTCTTGCTCACCGCCACCACTCGGATGTCCTGGGCTTTACGCGCTGATTTTTCGGCTGCCTGCTGGACGCGCTGCAGCACCGAGCGGAGCGCCGACGCTGCGACACCGTCAATTGCGGCCGGGCTGGCCATGCCTGGTTGCTCCTCTCCTTCGGATTCGTTTTCTCTCTCCGCCTTCTCCAGATTGTCGGGTTGCGAATTGCGATTACTCTGCCATTGCATCTGGGGCGTGGAAGCTTAAAGACTCGCGGTTGACGTTGCTGACCGCAGCGCCAGAAGGTGCGGATTGAAAACGACGACGCTACGACGTAGGTGATTTGAACCATCCCTAGTTTTATGACTTCGGCCCAAAATTTGAGGCTTGGGCCTTGAGTTTATGGCCCAGATTTCTCTTCTCAATAACATAAAAATATTTTTTCGATTTCTCGGGACAAATGCTTTTTGAAGAAACACGTGTATTATCCATGTTCTAGATACAATGAAAAATTTCTCCTTTCAAAGATTTCTCTTTGATTCTCCTTCCTTGTTCTTAGCATTTTTTTTTGGTAATCGAAGTTTAGGGGGAGGAAAGGTTACCCCATCCCAGGATTAGGGCATATCACAAGTTTCTTTAAGGACTTACAAAGGGGTCATAGCCTTTTTTTTGGTTTTTACAGATTAGTCACCAAGAGGAATTGCCTGCAGCAGAGCTTGAATCTAACCCTGGTTTAGCGAAGAGAATGATTCTTACCAACTCAACAAACCTTCATTAGTTTCCTCATTTATACCATTAAAACAGATAAGGGCGAACGAATTTATGTGGGAATTTGCTTGTATATCCCTTACTTGAAAATTAACAAAATATAAAAATTAAATTAATTGTAGAGTGATCAAGGAGAAGTCTACATATTGCTGTTGATATCCACTGCCTCATGCGTTAATTTCAATTTAACCCATTTGAAAATTTCTAACCCTAAAGCAGTAACACCTAAAACACAAAGTATTGCGACATAAGGCCATTTCCAATGTGGAGGATGAGCTTGATTTTTGATTCCTTCAAATATGTTTGCTATAGTTAGAGCAATTAGAGCGTAGCCTAAAAGATGATGGCATATCTTCACGTACTTATTGGAAAATCCTTTTTCTTCCTGCTGCTTAGGTCGCCAAAACATGGCAAGCATCTGCAAAACCATAGAAAATGTATCGTTAATTCTCGAAGCTACTCACATTTGACTCGACCCCTTTCGACAATAGTATTGATCTTTTTATTTGGGTTACAATTTATGAGAGAACTAAATCATTAGCTTATCATAATTTTGACTCATTTCTTCGATCACCCTTCACATATATATTATCATATACAAACTTGAGATATAGGTAAATTGTACATGCTTATTTGGTACAAAATGGGACGAACACGGCCTCCCCTGAGGGTAGCCAGAGTAGGCGGCCTCCTAGGGCACCCACTCCAGAGGCCCCACAATTTTTATTTATTTGTTATATATATATATATATATATATACATATTATAAAATTTGTGTATGTTCAAATAAGAAGTTTACAGAAGTCTTTGTCTAGATACAATAGCATATTGGGCTAAGCACAACATTTGTAAGATTCAATTGTTTTATATAATTACTTGATAAAAAACAGTAAACTTGTTTTGTACATAAAATGTTGAAAATTAGATTATGTAACTTAATTAGTACATTGACATCTAAAAACACAAGATATGTAAAATTTAGGTAATATTTATGTATCTGTATTATTCTGATATTAATTTTTAATGATGTTTGATGTAGATATATATAGATTTTTTCATGTATTTAGCGAATTTTGTTTTTATACATATTAATGTACAAAGAGTTAGAGGCCAGAGAACCCTAAGGCCCCATTTCAAAGGCTCGCTTAGGACCCTCCAAATTCTTAGGGCCGGCCTTGGGGACAAAACCCAACAAAGAAAATTAAACACAAAAATCTTAAATTAGCAATCCAATACTAGAACTCCCGAACAGTTAAACTTGATAAAAATGGTCTAACCATCAATTTTATACATACATGCATCTATCTTTCTAATTACATGATAATAACGCATTGAGTTAGAAAGATACATGACTATCTTATTAATTTCAACACAACCCTTAATTTAATCAACTACAAGGAGTTTGAGACTTACTTGTATGGCGGTGAATGTAAATATAATAATCCCAAGAGTGCGATGCGTTTTGTTACTGTGTCCCTTTGAAGAATGTCCAAGCAACATACCAATAAGCCATCCAACTGTGCCTACAACGGATCCACCGGTTTGACACGTTATGTGAACTGAATACCACTCCTTGCACTTAAATGGATATTTTCTGAAGTACCTTGCAGCTATTGCTCCAATCGGCAACAAAGTCCCCCATCCTATAATATTTAGAATCCCATGCGTCTGTCAATAATTTCTTCATTAAAATAGGCATAGAAAAATGGCCTCGCGATATAAAAAAAACAGCGCAAGTAGAGAGGCTAGTTATACAAATAAATGACTCTATGAAAACGTTTAAGCCTTAAATCAAGCTTACATTTCTTAGGTAATGCTGAAAAGGAGAAGGGCTTTGATCTCGCCATTTTCTTAGGTGTGCTGTGACTTCAATCTCTCCAGGGCTATGAGTGTTCCCTTGGTGATTGCATGATGAAGGGAGAGGAAAAATAATAAAACTGAGGACAATCAGGCTTTGATAACTTATCATGCTCTCTCTCTCAAGCAAAAGTTGTTTGAGGGGTGGTGAATCTGTCAAATTTCCGAAGTGATAACAAAGTAATGAGAAAAATCCTAAAAAAAAAAAATACTAATTTCACATATTATAGAAGTCTGTAAGTAGGATTGTATACTGCTTAAGATATGAAACTGTTTTGTAGCTTGAAAAAATTCTTAAGTAGTGCTTGGCTGTTGAGAATATGTGCTTTTCTTTGCAAATTAGGGAATCATGTTTGGCTTGTTTTAGTGGAAGTAGGAAAAATCAGATTTTATTCCCATCTTTATTTTCCTGCTCCCTGCTCCCTGCTCCCTTTTCCTTTTTATATGTTTGATACTAAGATGCAATTTTTCTGGGCTTAGTTTACTTTTCAAATTGCAACATGAGGGTTTCAGTTTCATCATGGAGTTAAATTAAATATTACATAAATCTATCATTGATGTGAAACTGTGAAAGTGAGAAAAAGGGTCGGTTTTGCAATTTTTATGTTCTTTTACTTAGACTTTATGGATCGAGAGATTTTTCAGTGTTCTGAGAAGACGGTACGGTACACCAAATGTGATAATAGTTGAAAATCTGAATAAAAAAATTTATAACCAATTATTTTATGACACTTGGTGTACTGGACCTTGTTTTCAGGACACTGAAAATTTTCTCTTATGGTTGGGTTACAGAATCAAATGGAAGGAGAAATTTTTAGTTGTGATGGGAACACAAGTGGTACACCACGTATTTTAATAGGAGTGGTGGGAAATTTTATTTTTTAAGTTATTAACTTTTTAGCACACATATTCTACAATTTGTATAGTGACATGTGGTGTACCACCCCGTGTACCGGTTACACTGAAAATCTCTCCAATAGAAGGGCAACTTTTCTTTATGCCCAATCAAATGATTTCTTCATAGAAGATTTTCAGTAATATGTAAGTAGCCTTTTGAATTGAGACCATTAGTGCACCATACAAATAAAGCAAGACTTGTACATTCAGTTTCCAATTGTCAACTCTCCCCCCTAATGTTACTATAAAACCCCATGTCACATTGATTCCTGTTAAGTACCTCCTAAGCTCCTACCCCCCAACAAAAAAAGAAAAAAAAAAAAAGAAAATCACTAGCTTCTAATTTAGTCATGGCCATGAAGTTGATGAACATCTTCTTTACCCTCCTAGCAGCAATGGCCATTGTTGGAGCTGAAAATTTCCACGATGATCATATCGAAGACGTGGAAATGCAGACAAGTACTGAAGCAGAAGCAACTAAATTTCCTGAAATACCAGATGAAGAAGAAGCAACTACTTCTCTAAGAGGAGTGAACCGTTTTCTTTATAATCATAATAAAAATATACCACTGCCCAGTTATAATTGCGACAACTTTCCTAGGGTTTGTCGTGCGAAGAACAGCCTGGGGCCAGACTGCTGCAAGAAGAAATGTGTTGACGTGAAGACTGATCGGTACAACTGTGGGATCTGCGGCTACAGATGCAAGTACACAGAGATTTGTTGCAGGGGCAAGTGCGTCAATGCATCGTTTGACAAGAGGCATTGTGGTGGGTGCAATCAGAAGTGCAAGAAGGGAGACTTCTGTGTTTATGGGATGTGCCATTATGCATGATTATTTCACAGTATACTACTGCTATACATTTATTCTGTCATATTAATTATGACAAATTATACGTAAAGAGAGAAAAATTATTCTTATATTTATATGACCTAAAGCATTATTATTGTTATTGTAAAACCATTGCAATTAATGGTTTCAAAAGGTAACTCAAATGCAAAAAAATAAAATTCTCATATTGTAATTTGAGTAAAATAATAGGAAAACTAATGAAAATGACTTGAAAACTTTGAGTTTTAACGATAAAGACAAAATAAAGGGTAAAATGAATAGTACCATAATTGAATTTTTAATGTAAAAATATGGTTTTTCATTAAAATGAACAGTACCGCGAACTTTTCGTTAAAATTCTCTAACGTAATACAGTCATGAGACACTGTTTCAGGTACACGGAAACATTGACCATGCAAGTGTGGTGTGTATTTACACTTTCTATTTTATTGTTAATTGTACTTCGATCCCGCCCATCAGAAATCCTCCATCAAGAAGGGAATCGTCCGGCAACAAAATTATGTCAAACAAATATCACATTTTTCAAGAGCAATAAATGATATATGTACTTGTTCCATAATCAAGCTAGCTAGTGATTGAAAAATGCAATTCCCTTGTTGTATTGCTATGTCAAATATATATGCCATATTACAGGTGCATATAATTTGCTGCAAAGTCGTTGTTTTCATGTGCTTAGGGAAGGTACGCAGTATCTTGTTGTTGCTTCTTTACTGAACCCGCTGTCGCTTACCCCTAATGCAATCAAGTTAACTTGCTTTGAATTTAGTTTCTTTCTACAATTATATAATTATAACAAAAACAAAAATGTTACTCTTAACATATTTTTTATACCGTATTTGTACCATCTCTTTTAGGCACTTGAGCCTGGGACTAATAAAATTCAGGGGAAATAGGGAACTAGTCTAATGAATATGAGATCCACATTTGTTAGCGAGGTGGTACAAATATTGTAAGTGTAGCATTACTCAATTCTTAAAGTTTTTATTTTTATTTTTTGATAAATGATACGATGTTCATTGAATGATAGGGAATACGTACATAGTTGAGGATAGGGTGCACAAATGAGCCTCGATAAAAACCTTGCGGGGGACGCACAAGCAACTTGAAAAGTTAACTATCCTCAATGTATTACAAATTATTGAATAGTAAATCAACTAACTGGATCTATCTTCAATCAAGATGTTCGTGACTAAAGTATATATATATAGGGCCAAATAGTATCCTCAATTCCTAATGTTAGGCACAAACCAAAGTGTGTGTGTGTGTGTTGCCAAATAGTATCCTCAATTCCTAGTTTTAATTAGTCAATACACCCACATGATCGACAACTTATGTGATTCTTCTCTTTTCACCATTTTCCATCTCACATTGGAATTTTGGCATCAATGGGGAACGTAACATCCCCTACCCGAGTCACCGAGTCTAGTCCTAGTCCATTGATAAAGATCCCATATCATAATGGCTGACAACTAATACACATGCATGTCTTCATATATGTTATTTTTCCTAATTCGTTTTTGGATGATGAAGAACTCATTTAGGTCTTGAAGAATACAAGAATTTTATCTCGAAATTTGACAAAATTAAATATGCTTTATATTGTGTGATTCCACTTAACTACACCGATATTTTTTTATGATAAAAACTCTTATACCTATGATGTTGACAGTAATACAAATTGAAAGACAGTATAATCGTAGACTGAGACTCGTCTTTTAAAAATCTTGACAACCAGTAAATTCAGTACAGCTGAATCTCTTTAAGTAGTTCCAGGACCCCTTGCTTTTTATCACATCTAAATATTCTCGCTCGCTCTCTCTCTCTCTCTCTCTCTGTGCCTTCCTCACATATCAATTTGCCCTTTGTTTTAGGGACTAAGTAATTTGCACCATAGTTATGGCCATGAAACTGCCCAAGTTTTTGTTCACATTGGTGTTGATAGCGGGCATAGCCATTTTCTCCTCAGCAACTCCAACTATTGAAGAGACACATGGTAACACCAAATCACAAAACCATAGTAGTTCTATCAGTCGGTTTCTTGGTTTGCACGAGTTTGTAGGGCATCGACATCGACCAAGGATAACTTGTGAGAGGAGTCCAAGAATTTGCTGGGCAATGGACAGCCCAGGACCTTACTGCTGCAACAAAAAATGCGTTAATGTGATGACTGATAAACATAACTGTGGAATGTGTGGAAGAAAGTGTAACTATTCAGGACTGTGCTGCAAAGGGAGTTGTGTGTATCCCTCTGTGGATGAGAGACATTGTGGCAAGTGCGACAACAGGTGCCCAGCGGGAAGCTTATGCGTCTATGGGCTCTGCAGTTATGCTTAATTAAAAACTTAAAACATAATTTTATATACAGTTAAGAATATATGTGTGATTGTTAAAAATAAGGCCAAGCTATCGGTACTCCTGACGGATTTGCCGGAAGCCGGGACATGGATAACGTAGTGATTCGAGCCGGTGGCCGAAGACCTGCTAGCGAAGGAATGCATTTTGTTTACTTGAGTTATATATTGTAGTTAAAAAAATAATGTTATCAATCATATCAATATCGTTGAAATACATTACGGAATCGGTACTAAAAAAATGAGTAAAAAAAGCATCGTTCGATATAGATATATATACACATATGTACACACGGATCAAGGTATGGAATACGTAATTTAAGTAGTAAGATCATGGCTTTATTATCCGTATATAATCGAACAAGTTAATGTAATGATTAATTGGTGGCATGCGTGGGGCAATTTTGTGTATATACAAATTAAGGTGAAAATTGGAAAAAAGTGCAACTGCATGTGATGATATGATAATTTGTTATATTACGTACAGGTTCGTCCAAACAATATACTTCAGTATTGCGTGATGATGGTAATAGCATTCTTTAGTTAGCAATTCGAAACGATGCTGCGCGCACGCACAGTACAAATACATACTTCGATACCACGAAAAACTATTTTGTCATAAAACTACATAAGATCAGGAACCATAGAAGAAATGCAAATCTAGTCAATCAACCACCACTTTGTTTGCTATCAGAACCGGCTGAAATTTTTTCGAAAGCATATATATATATATATATATATATGCGAAGTAAGATATTGAATGTCTCTAATTATATATTTGGAAAACCGAATTAAATGAACTACACATAAAAGATATTATGTTGATAAAGAAGCGTTAACTTCATTTTGCACAAAACATATTTTCTATATAAGAAGTTAAATAAAAAAACCAAAAATACTATTCTTACCATTATTGTATCATCATTTGTATCATCTCTCTAATAGAAATGGAACTCACATGTGTTAGTGGGCCTACCTCTATTAGAGAAATGGTATAAGTGATGATACAAGAATAAATGAGAAGTGTAACACTACTCATAAAAAAATGAACAATACTTGGCTGCTAAATTTTCAACAGCCATTCTTGCTTTCACCTAATTAGATTTGAACACGTGTTTAGTTTGTGTTTAGAATTTCAATCGTTTGAACATACGTTCAAATTTGATTGGATAAAAGCAGGAATAGCTGCTGAATTTTCAGCAACCAAGTATTATTCTAAAAAAATTAGTTTTAAATCGAACCATCAAACTACAAAAACTAAAGTGATTGAAAAGGGGCAAAGAAAACAAAAAATTGACTTGCGACCTAAAACCAATACATCATAAGGATACGGATGAAGAAAAATTATTTTAAAAATATCTAAATGTATCACGGTCTGGTGGTATTTCTCTTCGCTTAGAAGTGAGAGATCTTAGGTTTGAATTTCGTGGATGGCAAATTCGATACCAAATTAGGCTGCCCATTGTGTGACTTAGCCGAACTCCCCCTCCCCCTAGTGTAAAAATATCGATGTGCTAAAAAAAAAAATATTGCTTACAACTTTACACTTTAGAAAAACACATTTCAAACTCAAATAGTTTAGAAGAAGATTTAGTGGAAAGATTAGAATTTACTTAGAGCATGATATATATATATATATATATATATATATATATATAAAGCGTTTTTGTTTTTATATAAAACTTATAGTTGAAATGAGTTTAAACGTATATTTTGTTATGCGCAGAACCAAATCTAAGCTAACGAATTCGAATTGGATGGTGTGGTCACTCTCCTGGAAGCTTCTTCGTTCATACATATTGGTCAATGGTCAGTTATGTGATTCCAAACGTATACTAAAGAAGAAGAAAATGTCAACATAGAGGCTCCACAAGTGCTTCTGTAACGGTTTCCCCCTTTGGAGAATGGACTAACTTTGGTTTCTTGGACCACTGAAATAACAAGAAGGCGGGCTTGAGCTCACGTATGCACCAACACATATGCAATATATGCATGCATGAGTGTGATCAACCCAAGCGAATAAGAACACCACAGCGCCTAACCTGCCTACTTTATCATAAGTAAATTTGTATCTTCTTCTTCTCCATAAGTCCATATCCACCTAATTAATTTGGAGTACCAAGTTTCTTTGGAAGCCTAACTTTGTTTACTTAAACGCTTCGTAGCCCTTTGATTTAGACCAACCCATTAAGTAGATGAATACTCACACAAATTATGAAATTAATACCATCCATAGCCCCCTCTCATTCTTCTCTATAAATACTCCAACCCTATATGCTTCTTCATCCAAAACATTCATACATACGTTCATTACCATCTTCTCTTCCTTCAGAAATCTCTCCCCTTATACATAAAATACACCCGACTACGCAAACAAAACATCATGAAAGCCTTCAAGGTTTTTCTTGTGCTTGCCATGCTAATGGCTTTAGCCATTACTCTCTCTGCAATACCGGACCAAGAAGAATCGTTCTTGGACAAGGAAAATAACGATACAGATGATGCAACCGAAAGCATGCAGTCAGAAAAAACTACTTCTCTTACCGGAAGAAGCCGCTTCCTTGCCTCCCGGGCCGCTGTGCCCACATGCGACAAATACCCTAGAGTTTGTCGGGCGACGGGCAGCGCAGGGCGAGATTGCTGCAAGAAGAAATGCGTGGATACGAACACGGACAGAGTAAACTGTGGCATGTGTGGGAAGAAATGCAAGTACGGGGAGACATGCTGCAAAGGCAAGTGTGTGAACCCTAGGTCTGACAAGAAAAATTGTGGGAGCTGCAACAACAAGTGCAAGAAAGGCAGTTCATGTGTCTATGGGATGTGCAGCTATGCATGATAATTATGATGTCTTCATGATGCCATCAGCAGATAAATTATTCTACTCGATCTATATATTGCAATGAGTGTTTGGGGGGTACAACTATACTTGAAATTCTTCCGGTTACCAACTGGTGGAGGCTTAGCCAATTAATTATTGTTTATTATTAATTGATTATTTCTTTTATTACAATGTACCTAAAGAATACGTAATTTGTTAGAGAAGGAGGATCCGACCCGGATTCAGTTTCCTCTTAGGGTTAGTATTGTGTTTCCTTGTTCTTGTGTGCTTCGTAATTTTAGTATGTTAAGAAATCTTGCTTTGTACACCAAGTTACTATTTTAATAAATTACAATTATTAAATTCTCTCATTTCTACCTGGTATTAGAGGCCGGTTCTTACGAACTAAGGTCATCTCCAACCGATGGCTGATCAGAGGGCTCGTTTTAGCCCTCTGGCCCTCCAAGATTCTCCAAGATATTAATATTTTAATGAACAGTACATGGCCATATTTGCTTCCGTCTCCAACCGAGGGCCAAAGGGACAGAGGGCTCGTTTTAGCCCTATCACAAAAACCGTCTCCAACCGAGGGCCATAGGGCCAAACATAATTTATTATTTAAAAACTACAACTTAAATGTTGTTTAAGTTTCATGTTGTTAAATGTTTCTTTTAACAAATATGAAAAACTAGAAATGTTTTTAATAATTTGTTAAATGTTGTTAAAAACTACAAATTTGTAAAATAAAAGTTATAGGGAAAAAATAGAATTAAAAAAAATGAAAGATAGAAGTTATAGGGAAAAAATAGAATTTAAAAAAAATGAAAAATAGAAGTTACAAGAGAAATTTCATAAATAAAAAATAATAATAAAACTGTAAAAAAAAAAATTCAAATCAATCCTGTCGGATTGATTTGAATTCTGGCCAGCTCTCCAACCCTCTCCGATTCCGTGGGGCCCTCTGGCCTAGCCCGTTGTTGGAGACGGTTTTCGGGCTATTTTCGGCCCTCTAACCCTCTGGACCCTTCGGTTGGAGATGGCCTAAGTGGATCTCTTTCTCTCTCAATTATGAGGGGAATTATTATTTCCCATTTAATTAATTAAGTTCTTATTTGGAGATCATTTTCACCGCTCGATTTAATTAGTTTGGTACTGTACATATGTTAATTAGAAGGAAATTAATTTGTAAAGAAACAGCCAGTCGTGCATCTAATTGGATGAGACCATATCTATGTTGCATTGGCCCCCATGATATATATGATCGAACAGTGAGACAGTTAAAACTAGTTAAAACAGCATATGCCAAAAAATGGAGATCCTTTTCGTTAAAGGACATGTATATATACCTACATGTTTTTAAAATTCATCTATGTACCTAAATATTTGTATTTATGTATTTTTGTGTACCGTATGTCCGTACTTATAAACATTTGTGTTACTATATATTCATCTATGCACCCACTTGTTGTCTACTGTTACTTAGCTCCATCATTTTGAAATTTGATTTGAGTATTGCTCATTTAATAACCATCACTCTCTCTGCAAGACCAAATAACCACGAAGCAGCAGCATCAAGAAGCCGGTTCCTGGCCTCGAAGACTCCGGCGGGTAGGGGAGGATGTGGTCAAAACCCTCTTGCTTGTAGTGCCACCGAAGGTAGCCGAGGGCCTGATTGTTGCAACGATGTTTGTACGGATATGAGAGCAGACGCACTCAACTGCGGGGTTTGTGGGAAGAGATGCGACATGTCAGAGATATGCTACAACTCTTATTGTGTCAAACCAATGTCCGACAATCAAAACTGTGGCAAGTGCTTCAACCATTGCAAGATAGGCACTTCCTGTGACAAAGGGTTTTGCGACTATGCTTAATTAGAAATCATCATGACCCCACCCAGATCGACTACTTCTACTCAACCATAAGGATCACAATAATGTATATATGCACGTGTCTGTGTGCATCCCTATCCGTTACGTAGTTAATGGTTTATGTATTTAATTGCATGTTTTTTCTCTCAAATTACAACTGTCTGTACTTAGGTTAAGGTTATGAATCTTTGTGTGTGTGCGTGTGCGGACTCGTACAATGGCTAGCTTGCTAGAGATCATCGACATGGGCTTATGAGGGTTTTTTTTTTTTTTTTTTTTTTTTTTTTATGGCTGATGCATGTTTCTTTCTATTTTATTAGTTGAATTTTCTCATTTGCTACAACTAACTAAACAATTTTTCGTTCATTCTTAAACACAATCACATAAAGTTACTATCTTATTTAAATTATAATACATTAACTTAGTTTTTCATAATATACCTTAAAAGCGAGATCTATCAATCATGTTGATACAACATGACAAAGAGAAGGGTACCAAATAAAAATCTTAAAAAACAAGTAAATTGGATTCCACCAAAAAAAATGAAAAAAACCTTATAATTTATTGAATGATAATTGAAGGATGACAATCCTAGTACCTTAATATCATCTAAACTACCTACTAACAAAACCCTTTTTGTCAATCAAAAGTGGCAAAAAGACCAAATTAACCCTGTCAACAAAACTAAAGAAAAATAACCAAAATAAAAGTTATTAGCAATATATTAAATTAAACACAAATTAATTTTATGGGTTTTTTCCAACGCTTTACCATGAGGTAACCATATCAGTTGCCTATTCCACATTTTTTTTCCAAATAAAATAATCCTTAATAACAAAACAATTATTAAGAAACAATCGCTAAAGATATGAACAAATCTCTTCAAAGACGAAAAATTGTTTGAAGGTCGTCATCATTTCGGACTCTATACAACTTAGGGCATAATAGGTATTTGAAAAATATTTTAAAAGCTTGTTCATAAAATTAGGTCAACTCATTATTTTGTTTACTTGAAATAAAAGTCAATGCACCTAAATCAATAAGCATGATGTCATGGACTAAAACTATGAAATAAAAGTCAACGGAGGCATGATGTCTTGGATTAAAACTAATAGCTGACTAAATTTTTTGGAGTTATGTCTAATTATCCCTATAAAATACCTAAAGCGTCCGTAAAACTTAAAGCCCTAAATCAAAAATTGTAAACTATGGGAAATTTGGTCGGAACCAAGTCATGCTACTTTTGTGAGTTTGATGCACGTATTTATTCTCTTTGAAACAAGAAGTCATGGATATTTAGTACAAATTTGCAAATTTTATTTTTGTTGCCCTTATTTGTGCTATTTGACTATATCTTTAATCAATTTTGCCATTTAATTTATATTACATATCATTCACCCTTATTATAACATGTGGAATAATAAACCACACTATTACTTATAAAAAAAAATTCTCCATCGTAGCCTATTCCAAATGTTAATTATTTAGGTTCAATTATTCTCTTCTTGAATCCAGTCTATGTATCCAACTCTTAAAATAATACTCTCTGATTTAATAATTAATACTATGGTTTAATGATTATTCTCTCACTTATATGTAAGAAGCCTTTTGACTTATGTACATGACAAATCTGATACAAAAATATTATTATTAACCCATTGTATACTTTAACTCAAATCCCCCATTTTCTTCGTGTAAATATATCATATTCTACTAGGTCCGAAATTTTTATGTGCCCCTCACCTTTCATTGAAACATAAATTCCTGGCTAAGAATTTTATTTCTTTACATAACATAGGACGGTATACATTACAAAAGAAAGTCCACCAGCCTTAGCTCGTGCAACCACGTCTTGTATAGACCCAAAACTCTTACATACCAAAACATAAGCAAAAGCACTCCCTACTTTATTCGTGTGCACAATGTTCTCATTAGTCATCACCCTGTCCAATTCTCCCTATATATCCTCCTAATTCTGTTCGTTTTCTTAATCAACTCATAATTAAGCCATGGCCTCCCTAGCCCCTCTCGTATTATCTCTCTTATGTTTTTTAACTTATAGTGCTCCAACATTTCAAGCCTATTCCCCAGACTACTCCACCACCCCCAAAATCACTCTCAAAAACATTATGAACGTGGTAGACTCGTGTTGGCGCACCAAATCCAATTGGGCCACCAACCGCCGCGCCTTGGCCGACTGCGCAGTAGGCTTTGGCAAAGACGCATTGGGAGGAAAATACGGGCGTACTTACGTAGTCACAACCTCAAATGATGACCCAGTAAACCCTAAACCCGGCTCACTTCGTTACGGGGTGATCCAAACGCAGCCATTATGGATCGTTTTTGCCAAGGACATGGTGGTCACGCTAAAAAATGAGCTCATTATGAATAGTTTCAAGACCATAGATGGTAGAGGTGCTAAAGTTGAAATTGCGTACGGACCATGCATAACGGTGCAGGGCATTAGCCACGTTATTATACATGGAATAAGCATTCATGATTGTAAGCCTGGGAAGGGTGGGAATGTTAGGAGCACTCCTACACATATTGGGAAGCGTCGAGGGTGCGACGAAGACGCTATTGCTGTCTTTGCTTCTTCGCATGTGTGGATAGACCATTGTTTCCTAGCTCGTAGCGCAGATGGCCTCCTTGATGTCACCCATGCTTCCACTGCCGTCACCATCACAAACAACTATTTCTCTCAGCATGACAAAGTAAGCATAAAAGGTTAATTATGAGGTTATGAATTAATTTCCGTTAATTGAGCCTTTTGTTTTCTTTGCTCGACTTATGTTACATTCTGGGCTAATTGCACAAGTTATTTTCTAGCTAGTCGGTTCATGTATCTTGTTTAATTGTCAATGGATGAGGGAATTAGAGCATGAGACCTCATCCAACGTTGAATAGAGGATACGACTAAATTGAGAGCTAGCTAGTTGTTGTGTGTCGAATTTAACTAACTCCCTTATGCTTTAATTTCAGGTGATGTTGCTTGGTCACAATGACAATTTTAGTGCAGATAAAAATATGAGAGTCACAATCGCCTTTAACCGTTTTGGGGCTGGCCTTATTGAAAGAATGCCAAGGTAAACGCAATAACTTACCTTCAACTCTTTGAAGGTAATTTATGCCATTGTTTTTATTGTGAAAAAAAAAAGGGTTAGGTTGGGTATGCGCACGTGGCCAACAATAGATATGACGAGTGGAAAATGTATGCCGTAGGAGGCAGTGCCAATCCAACAATTTTCAGTGAGGGGAACTACTTCATAGCCCCTGAGACTTCTTATGCCAAACAGGTTACAAAGAGAGAGGCTGGAGGCAGTTGGAATAATTGGAAATGGAGATCTTCAGGGGATGTGTTCAAGAATGGTGCTTTTTTTGTTCAATCTGGGTTCCTGCTTTAACCTCAAATGCAGGTCCTCTACGCTGCTTTATTGGCAAAATATGTTAATTTGCTTTGCCATATATATATATATATATATATAGACCCTTTTCCAAACTTT